CTGGGAAAATGCTTTTGGTCAGTCTATGTCGGTCGCTTCACAAAATAGTGATAGGGTAGAGAACTACTTCGGTCTAATCGCCACTTTGGGACTATCGAGCAGAAGTCTTCAAATAAATCCATGATTTCACAGTTAAAAAGTCAATTATCCGTTTGGTACGACACTTAAGTTAATAAGCTACCAAACGAAGTCAATGAGAACGCATGATATGAAGGTTTGCAACCATTATTCCCAAAAAACAAAAGAAGCGCTCCGACCGAATCAATTTTTATCTTCATTCGATAGGCCGAAGTGAATTCATTGGCGTTTCAATGCGATAGGCCGAGTTTAGAATCCGTAGGCCGAGTTTGGCGTCAAGAAGCAGTGTTAGACTTTTGACAATATCTCAACGATTGGTTTCTCTAAATCTTACGGTTCATACGGAAGGGTAAATAAATTTGGAAGTCATCAGTAATAATAACATTCCGTTTGGTGCTAAACTGCGCTAGATTAAAAAATACTAAGTGCTGAATGTGCATAATAGGCCGGAAATGGGGTGGTTAACCCTACGACATAACTGATAAAGCAATATAAAAACGGAGAATATCACAATAGATCAAAGTAATGGTCGCAGTGATGAATATACCCAACACGGAAAACAAACGTTCTCTTCGTCGACTTGCTTATGTTTCGGTTTAAGAACACTTAATTTTACATGAAATGTTTGTTTACGTTCCATGATTTACGTGGATTGTGTCTCTTGTAAAAGTAGTTATTTATAAGTGTGTAGTTTAACAAACTAACAACAGTGTATAACACGACTTTCAACAACAGAGATATTTTACCATATTTGAAATGCTTATGGTCTCCTGAATTAAAGTCTAGAATGAATCTATTCTCTAACACGTCACACTTTTTAGATACCACTCTCTTTATGATCTTTATGCGATCTACGAACTTGCAGAAGACATTGCCTATTATTAGAATTATTTTCGAAATGAGGGATGAAATGTCGAGGTAGCATTTTAAAATATTCTACACACATGCTCTGGATACCCAGATCTAATTTTTGCATTGATGAAAAAACTACAAGGGACAGCCCTATGGAGTTGTACGCAATGGTGACGTAGGACTGCATGGTCTTATATAATAAATCTTATTTGTTAACTGCAGCAGGAGCTTGTGTTTTGTGTAGGAATAAGAATTTGAGCGGGGTTCTCTCTGTTTATAATCTTTAGTATGACGCGCTTGACATAGATGGCCCACAGCAACTCACGAAGAGCTACTGATTCCTATCAATAGCGGTGCAGCTTCTTCCTCTTTTTATGAATGCTCATGTGGGCTGCAGCTCGCTGCTAGCAGGCAGCTTTTCGTTGTGCACTGGAGAACACAGGGTGTCGACTCAACTAAGAAAACAAAATTCCCTGATATTCCCTGATTGTCCAGTAATTTTCAAAAAAATTCCAGGTACAGTACCTCAGCTATAACTTTCCTCAGAATATATTAGTGCTTTATGGACATTTTTTTTTTTCATGAAATACCACAAGGACCTCTAAGGCTCTAACCCATGAAGAGTGGTCCAGCACAATTTCAAATTAAATAAAGCGTTCCATACATTTTATAGAATGCAAAAAAGGCAGAAATCTCGTGTTACCAAGAACGGAAAGGATCCGCATTCTACCCTAGAGACATATACATTAATCCAAATCTCCTTCATCTTCATGGTGACCAGCAAATCTCGATTAGCAATTTTCCCGTTTTTCTCCCGGAATTTTGGAAATTATCGCGGTTTAGGTATTTTAATTAAGCACAAATCTGAATGCGATTAAACCTAAGGTTAAATGGGTAATTTCTAAGACAGCAACACCTTTGTTGGATCTTGAATTTGGATCTGCGACAGGTTTGAAGTCTTCACAATTTGTTTATGTAAATTTCGCTCAACACTTGACAGGCTTTTATTTCCTTGTTCTCAAGCCTTTCCTTTAGATTAATTTCCTTTCACATAGATCATTCCAGAATTCTTCTAAAATAAATTTGAAATTCTCTCTGGAAAGCCCTTGATTTTTTTATAATAGTACAGAAATTCTCTGTAGAACACTAAAAAAAAATTTAAATTTCATCCTTTCTACGAATTTTAGACTCTTTCTAAGAATTTGCTGGAGCTTAAATTTTGTTATATTTGAATGAAATTCTCCGTAGAATTCACCTCAGACCATCAATTCAAAAGAGCTTATTAGCGTTTTTGAGCTAAACTTGTAATCCCCCTTCCCCACCAACACCATCTGGCAGGCGAAATTCTCACGCCGAGAGTTGTCTCCAAATTTTGGTCAGAATTATCTTAGAGTTCTCCTCTACATTATTCTGAAAATTGCATGGAATTCTCATTAACATTCTCTAGAATTTTTTTTCGAAATGTGCTTGGAATTATACTTGTACTATCCTTATAGATCTTCGCATAATTATCTTGGAATTGTCCCATCGAAATTCGCGTTCCTTGGTATTTTTCAAGAATCCTGGAATACTCTTTACTCTTGGGAGATCTAGTAAAAACCCTGGTAGAGGTTTTCCTAAAGCTCCCTAGAAAATATTCTCAGAAATATCTTGGTGTTATCTCCTTAAAGTGACTGTAGCTATCCTGAAAATCTAGACCAGTCCAAGGGTCTTGAAATCTTATTGTTTTCGAAGAAAGAACGAGGTATATTTTTCCAGATTTGCATTTCTGCATTTCACATCTGAAACACTTGTTTTTAATCCCATTATATTTGTTTTGCCTTGAGCACATTTTGAGACTCAGCTTCATAAGAAAATTATACCGGATAATATGTTTAACCAAAAGCTAGTGTACGGGCGGTCTCCACTGGTGGGAAAAAGTAAAAATGACGCTTTCATCTCCAAAATTCTTTGAGTTAAATCCATCTAAATTGCAGTAGCAGCAACATTACCATACTAAAACTTTACTGTGAAGCTAATTTTACGAGCTAACCAGGTTTTCAATGAAGACCTAGAATACTTAACACAGCCACTCTATGCTGTCAAAGCAATTCTTGTCTACGTATCTTTGAATCATTATTCAATCATAAAAGTGCTACTCCAAGCAATAAAAAAAAAACCTCCCAAGCAAGACCATTATCCTAAATTCTCATTTATTTATTTCTCTGAGCTAATCAAGCTGTTAGGAACACAATAAGGAACAAGAACTAGAAATATTTAGAAAAAAAATCATTATCTTCTCTTAAAACTGGGTTTCAACAAGGCAAGTCAATTGATCAACTCAGTTGAATTCAACTGACTTGAACGTGTAAACTATGCCATTTAACTGACTTAAATTGAAAAAAGTTGAACCAGGCTCAACTTTTCAAGCCAATTGAATTCAACTGAGTTAATCAATGACTTGCCTTGTCTAAGCCCAGCTTAACTCTTAATCATTCTTGCATTTACTCAAAAGTGCTCCAATGCACTCAAGGGATTGATTTTTGTTGGACACAGCTGGATAGAGCAGACGCAGAATCTACTTGAAAGTTAAATTTTGTCAGACGAAATTGGGTATAACATCTATTAAGGAACGCACATTTCCATAAGCAGCTTAATTTTGCAACATCTAACAACGTCTAGCCTCTCTACGGAACTGAATTTTTATCTCGATTCAACTCAGGAATGTGACAACACCCAGTGGAGCTGAATTTATAATAGGCTCAAAATCATCAGAATACCCTCTTATTTGCGTTACTTTTGCTCCACTTGCAAAAATGCAACAGCAAGCATTAAACAACCACAACTGCGCAACTCTATTTAAAATTTGAAATTTAAAACCAACCTCAAACTACAACGAGCAATTAAGTTGTTTGAAACTAGCGTAATCAGCCATACTTATTAATATGTTTCTGTTATAAAGAAATACTTCCCTGACTTTGAATGAAATTCCCTGACAATCCCTGATTTTCCAGGTCCAAAAAGGAATTCCCTGATATTCCCTGACTCTCCAGGTTTTTCCAGGTAGTCGACACCCTGAGAACACCACCACTCACCACGCGGTGATTGAATAAGCACCGTTTGGTGAGACCGGATGAAATTTAACTATGAAATCTGTGTTAGGGAAATCGCTTTGCGCAGGCAATCGGTGATAATTTTAACTATCAAAACCAGATGTTATTCGTGCAATTTTCAATAGTGACATTTTGAAAAATGATAGTCTTAAATTTTACAGATGCGTAGAAATAAACCTGATCGATTGATGCTAAAATTATTGAAATTTGTTCAGGGGCAGCTAAGTTATTAACGTTCAAAATCTTTCATAATTTTGTTACATATTCCATTTTCAGTTTTCACTTAGTGTACCCTCATATAGAAATCACAGACGTGGTCCTACGTCAAAATGTGAATTTGTTTTTCCGTCCTCTATATACTTTTTTATAGGTTTCCAGTAAGTATGACATTCTATACGAAACAATAGGTCTTTTCCCGTACTTGTTTTCTTTTTTGCTTTTACTGTAGGTTGCTGCATCTTGCTGTACAGAATCTTTCAGAAAATCATGTACGGGAACAGACCCAATATCAAGAACGAAAACACTCAATGAAAAGGAAAACAACCTACAAGATTTATAATAATTACATAAATGATCATAGCAAAACAAGAGCACAACACAAAATTACTATGGAACGAAAAATAAACAAAAATCCATTTATAATTAGAGCGTTGTTTAAATCACCACCGTAGAGGAAACACATTGATAGCGAAAAATTGTGAATCGTAGTTTGTTTATTTTCGTCTTGTAGAAAAAATTCGGCAATCTAGTGCCAAAAGTATGTACCATTAAGTAAAAATGGGCAAGCGATGTATTTTAATTATAAAATAAGAAAATATGGGAATACAAGCACACATAAGCAAATTACGTACACACATTAAAAAAAAAACAGTCTGCTAAAAATGTACAAGTCAGCGACGCAAATTCGACATTCATATGCGTATGCGCGCGCTTGTATACGTCAGAGTGAGATAGATAGGAAAGGAAAAAAATATATACCTGAGTTAGCTGGAGCAGAGACGCATGAAAAACACCACATTACTTTACTGCCGGACAGCACACATGCAAGGAGTTGGACACTATTTTTTTTTGATTCGGTTGCTTTTTCTGTAGACTATTTTCCTCCAGACACAAAATACGCACACGAGAAAGAACGAGAGCAATAGGTAGTAGTGTGTGGAATAGGAGAGAACGAGACAGACTGCAGCGGTAAGATGATTTTTTTATTGGTTTCGGGTGTAGGTTGTGCAGAAGAGAAGGTACCTCTTTTCTCTTTTTCTATTTTTTCACTTTGTCGTCTTAAATTTCAGGCTGCAAATAATATTATGACGGAAGGGAAATTTTCCTTTTGATTTATTTTTCAGCCACTGTACGCACTGCGAAACCACTTTTTACAATACACAAACGTGTGCAGTAATCGAAGAAACAATGGGACACAAAAAGCACAAATGTAGACACAACGTCTGACGACGGATGCGAGAAAGAAGCACACACACAAACACTCGTAGTGCTACGCGACCGCGACAACGCCTTCTTTGATCAACAATAATTCTGTGGCAAATGTTCCACTTTTTTCTCTTTTTTTTTACCGTGCAGAGCAGGATTTTTTTTAATAATTTCCACCGTGAAATTCCTCGTGAAAGCACAAGAGCAGGAACTAGAACAACAGAAATTCACATTAAGGAAGAAAAATCAACTTTCCAGGATGCTAGTAGCGTACAACTCACGACGGCGACGTCCAGACGTAGAAATTCGCGTGAGCACTCGTTTACAAACCCAGCCGCAGACTGTTTTCACTTCACTCCTAGCTACTTGGCACTCTGTTGCTGATGCACTCTGGCTCTCGAGCTAGTAGTCTCTGGTCTGCCACTCTGCCTGCCAAAGCGTATCGCACAACACAGCTTCATCGCTGGACACGCACACACCGTTGGAAAACTCCCATTTTGAGCTCCTGTGCAGAGCAGCGGGTAACTCGCACATACATTCATACATCGAAAAGGCCCGATGACGATTGACGACGATGGTTTTTATTTGGCTAAGTTGGTATTTTCGTGGATCTAGGTGTTGGTATAACAGGTGGAATAGAACTCCCTTCAGTCAGAAAGTTCTTTGCTGTTAATGTTCATGAAAAGTTCACTATTTTGCCATAAGAAATGCAACAAATCGGCTTATATATAAAGCAAAATAATAACATCACTGTTTGACACTAAACTACCAAATTGACAGCTCGCCCCCATATAAAGTCCCACCGAGAGGCGCTATGTGATGATTTTTGTTAATGTAATCGGACTTATTTAAAATAGTTCCAGTTTATCAAAATTGATAAAATTGTAGATTTCGGGTCCATATTTTATGCAGATATCGTATATGAATTTACCTCAATACCCTTAATGAAGCCAATTAGGTTCTTTAATTTTGAAATATATTATAGCGATTATACATTATCTGAAAGCGCTTTGTTTTCTGAGCTCAATGATATTTTTTTCTATCTCATTAACATCCTTCTCGATTTCTAAATCTAGATTTATAGCCAAAATCCACTTCACTTTTTGACACAAAACTAAAAAAATACATCTTGCTCCCATAAAAAGTACTACCGAGGGGCGCTAAGATGTAGATTTTTGCTAATGTAATCACACTTATTTAAAATAGTTCCATTTTGGATTTCGGTTCCATTTGACATGCAGATTACGAATATGCAATTACCTCAATACCCTTAAAAGAACTCAATTGACAAAAATGTTACATGCGACCCAATCAAAAAGGACTTCGGAATTGGGGTCTTTAGGGGTAAATATTGAGGTAAATGCATATTCGTAATCTGCATTAAAAATGGAACCCAAACCCAAAATTTCATCAATTTTGGCACACTGGAACTATTTTAAATAAGTACGATTACATTTGCAAAAATCACCTTATTAGCGCCCCTCGGTGTCATTTTGTATGGGAGCGAGTTGTCAGTTTGTCAGTTTAGTGTCAAACAGTGAAGTTATTATTTTGCTTTAAATCTTGATTTAAAAATCGAGATGAAAGTGTGTGGGTTGAAAAAAATATCGCTGTGCTCAGAAAACGAAGCTCTTTTAGATGATATATAAAAACCGATATATTTTTCAAAATTGAAGAACCCAATTATGTTGACCGATATTACATTTTTTGCTGTGTTTAAAGCGAAAATCCACTTTACTTTTTGACATTGAGGTAATTGCATATTCCTAATTTGCATTACAAATGGAATCGAAATCCAAAATTTCATAAATTTTGGAGCACGGGAACTATTTTAAATAAGTGTGATTACATTATAAAAAATCACCATCTTAACGCCCCTCGATAGTACTTCGTATGAGAACGAGCTGTCAGTTTGTTAGTTTTGTGTCAAGCAGTGAAGTGATTATTTTGCTTTAAATCTTGATTTAAGAATTGCGATGGAAGTATATGGGATCAAAAAAAATATCATTTTGCTCAAAAAAAAAAAAAAAAAAAGACGCCCTTTCAGATGATGTATGAAAACTGACATATTTTTTTGAAAATTAAAGAACCCAATTCATAGGCATGCCGGCAGACGGTAATCAACGTTGGTAGAAACCAAAGGGGAGGAGGTAACTGTCAAATACGAACAATCGTCGCCTAGCTCGCATAACGGGTTCCAACGAGGTTCCAAACGACAACAAGAAACGATGATTTGTTGATGTTTGGAGCCAAATTCACATATAGAAAATTTGTCTGTGGAAAATCCATGAGTTCCGATTCTGTCGTTCTCCGTCTGGTGAAATGGGTGACAGAGTTTGACATCACACTCTCAACCATTTTAACAGCGGGAGAACGAAAGAGACGACACATTTAGTGGGCCTTACCCTAACAAACAAATACCATAAACGAACGGTAACCTGGATGATAGAACAATAGGGATAACGATAAGACCAGAAGGTCCCGAAGAAACGTGCTCAACTTTTTGGCTCAGCTCTGGTACTATCTCCGGTCCTTTAGCTTATCGATGCACCCGTAGAAACAAAGTAAAATCCATGAACCCCTCGTTTTATCTGTCAAACTTTCATAGCGAATCAAAACAAACATAGTGTAGTGCTAGAATTTCGACTAGAATGGTGTAAGTTAATCGATTTGCTTGGAACCAATAGGCTAGTCAAGTAGTGATCCAATTTAAAATCGTTACCCTAATAAAAATAACCATAAAAGAGAGCTTAACGACGTGTTTGGGGTATCATCCAAACCATTTGTGGGATAGTTAACCCATCAGGGATATTGTTCGTTTATGGTATTTGTTTATTAGGGTAGTTTCCACCGGTTGGTAGAACTATCCCACAAATGGTTTGGATGATACCCCGTACACGTCATTAAGATCTATCTTATGGTTATTTTTATTAGGGTACCTATTTACATCTCATTGATGGATGATCAGTAGGCCGATTTGACAGCACATCCCATTAAAGCTTTACAGTAAACGTATGGACGTCTGTCAAAAATTGTCCCAATAGAACCGTCAAAATGCACCGCTTTGCTCTATTGGAACAGCTTTTTTCAGTTTTGTGGTGACAGTCGTCCATAATTTAACTACACAAATTTGATCACATCCATGTGAAATTCTCAATTACTCAAAATAAAGATGATTTGTCATCTTGTTATCACTTTGAAGACCATCTAGCACCATTTTATAGTATGGTGCGTGTTGAGTAAATCAAGTTCCGTTGCGTTTTCCGTCGAAAATTGTGAGTATCAATATGTTTGCTTAGAAAAGGCCAAAATGAACATTTATTGAATATTGGCGTCCTATACAACCAATTCTCCATTACCACCAGCATGATACAAACTTTCCTAAGTAAATTAACTTTATTTACACTTTCATCTTAGTGGAAATCGCACATATTCACCATTTTCCGAAAAATGCAGCTGCGCAGGAGGTAACCTCTTGCTGTGGGTGCAAACTTGTTATGCATAATTTTCCATGAAAACCTCTCCGATCCATACCGAAATAATAACAATTAGTTTTCAAACACGTTTTCTTACACGATTCAAGCAAAAGTTTCCACGGGAAATTATTAGTTTTTCTTTATGGACCAATTTGCCCCAAAAATCGTCTGTTTTACTTGGAAAATTTGGAAACTATCCTCCTTCTAGTAGTTCTCACTTCGAAATGTAGGAGGCGAAAGCTTGGAAAAGTTTCACTGCAAGACGCCAATTGGCCACCACAAGATGATTTGAGGGCTCAAAAATTTTGGTTATTCAAAAAGATACAAGTCTATCACAGTAATTTACTCCGAAATTCGAGCGCGGGTAGGCAATACTAATTTTGATCATTTGAAAAATCGGTATAAATCGGTATACAATTTCAAAAATCGGTATTCTGAGGAATCTTATCTGTGTATCGGTATCTACACAGAAAAAAAAGTTGTTAAATATTACATCCAAACTGCTGCAACCAGGTTGCAGCAGTTTGGATGTAATATAACGTTGTACGATGTACATCGATTTTGCGAACAAAATTACATCCATTGATGTAATATTGTATCTGCTTTTTGCTATAACATCATTATTTCATACATCAGCTTGATTTACATTGATCGATATTACATTTTTTTTGCTGTGTAGTTTGGAAATCGGTATAAATACCGATAAATCCGAGGGGGGCGACACATCTAAATTTCAAGTTTAGATGCTCAACAAATTTCACACTAGCGAATCAATCTTCGAAAAATCTTCTTTCATTTGGCGCATCTACTTGCATCGTGCATCATCTTTTTGCAGGAAATCTTCAGAATCGTCATCAATCTTCTTTCTGTCTACTCAGCGTGCGCGCAGCTTGCCACAGCAAAACACAATCTTTTCTGCATCGTAGATTGAGTCGTCCCCCTCGGATAAATCGGTATATCTGGCAACACTGATTCGGCTCTAGAATCGATCCACTGATTAAATCGGTACCAAAGAATCGATCTTTGATAGATTGATCTTTTGATTTTTATTTTAATACGCTTGTTTACGTTGGTACCTCTAGAAATTATTTCCTTTATACTATTCAATTGTTGTCGTGATGGCAAGGGGCTGGTCATTAACTACGTAGACAGTTTTTTTGCATTATTGACCCTCCCCTTGCGTAGACAATTGTCCATACCAAGTTTTTTTTTAAATTTGTATGGGCCGTTGCTAATTCAGCAGTTCCATTTCAAATGACGATTTTTTTTAATTTTTTGATCGACCTTCTACGATTCTGTTGAAACTTTGCACGGTTGTTTGTTATTGTCCAACATGCCATTTTACATATTTGGTTCCCTAGTTTTGTACACGAGTAACACTTGAAAAGGGCTTATGTAAAAATGATACGCATCAATAGAAAAACATATATCTTGCGAATGATTTGTTTGATTGAGATGGTGTCTTCGAAGAAGTTGCGGACAAGTATTGTGCCTTTCAAGAAAAAAAAATAAACACTGTAAAATATTATTTTTTTTACAAAAAAATCAAAATTATCAAAAAAAAATTAAAATTACTCAATTTGCTTATTTTTTTTATATTTATTTTGTAGTTTAGATTAAGTAATACCTACTGATACTGTGAATTTGCTGGGAAAATCATAAACAAAAAAGTTATGAATCATTTAAAAAATAAGTATTTTCCAAAATACCACCTACAGTTATCGAATATCTTTAAAATAGTGTTAATATTAAAACACATTAAATTTACAACAAAAAAGCTCATTATGTTTAAATTGCCCAAAGTTGTTATTTTCGAGATACTCGTAGGTTGAAATTCACTTGTCGCATAATTTGAGCAATTTTCACTCTTTACTTGTCTATACTTGTCCGCAACTTCTTCGAAGACACCATCTCGATCAAACGAATCGTTCACGAGATATATATTTTTCTATTGATGCGTATAATTTTTGCATAAGCCCTTTTCAAGTGTTAGTCGTGTGCAAAACTAGGGAACCAAATATGTAAAATGGCATGTTGGGTAATAAAAAACAACTGTGCAAAGTTTCATCATAATCGTAAAAGGTCGATCCGAAATGATTTGCGAATCTGTGTGGAACTGCTGAATTTTTAACCTCCCCTAACCTGTCCACGCAGTTTATGAACAACCCCTAATGAGCAATGAGTACAGGAAGGAGGTAGACCAACCTTCAAATGTTGCTGTATTCGTAAATATCTAAAACGCAAATAGGGACGTCATTGTAGGGAGCGATGCTGATGTTGACGTTATGTTCGTTAAATTTACTACGCAGTCTGTGGTGAGAGTAAATCGTTTTTTCGATTTAAATATACTTTAAAAGAAATTGAAGATCGAAAAGATCGAAAGAAGGGATCGATTTTTTCGATCTTTTCGTGGACAAAGAATCGATCCGAAAAATCGGAAATCGGGATGAAAAAGATCGATCTTCCAAAGATCGATCTAAGATCGCCCAATCCTAATCTACAGTACACTGAACCAAATTGTCCATACATCAATGTATGATTATTGCTTCACTTGAGCCCCATACGGATTATTTTTCTATTTGTGAAAGATTATCATTCTCTGATTCAGCTCTCAAAGCACAGAAGAACTGAATAGCATTAATTCTAAAACAGGATGATTTTCGTTCTGCACGCTGTAAACCATTAGCATGATTATCATCCATTCTTAGGAAGACTTGAAATGAACAAACCGTATGATTAACATTGAGAAAGATACGGACTCGTCATACAGTTTCAAAATAAATTGTCATGCAATGTTTAAATGAAATATAAGTGCAATCTGAATGAAAAATATATGGAAGCAGAAAGCTTATTTTACTGTTTAAAAATTGTGATCATAACGAAATATATCTCTTCTAAATTGTTGGAACTGTTAATTAATGTTGTAAATGAAACACTTCTGTTTTATAAGCTGAACAATTGTTTTATTTATTTATGATAAAACAACCACACTAAATGCTGCACTGGGCCGGCCTCGCCCCTGGCGTCCCCATCGAACAGTGGATTCGCCGGTTCGGACTCGTCATCCACGGAATCGAACCCAATCACGTTCTGTCGGAACTTGTGCAATGTAGGATGTTGGCTCGGGTTGTTTGTGGCCTCAAAAAGCAGTTTGAAAATGTTGTCCCAAAATCTGCTAAACGAGCTCATCAGCTGGTTGGTCTTGATGATATCACTGGAAGATAAATTTGTTTTGTTAGAATCGTTTTGATTGAAACAAAGTACCTCTCTCCCAGTAACTTACTGAAGTCTAGGAATTTGAATCAACCAGCGGATGTTGTTTTGATTACACGTTTCTGTCTATGGCCACTTGGCTAGTTTGTAAAACTCCACTCGTTCGACGACTTGCCGTAGTACGAAAGAGGCAGTTCGGCGTTTTGGTACTTGCTTTCCTCAAAGTCGCTGACCACCTCCTCGAGGGGGGGCTGGATCGCGAACAATCCACGGGCACTGAAGCATTCGAATCAAACGGGAACGGAACGAGTAGATATTTTTTTGCCACATGAATCCGAAAACTTTTTTCTCGTTCGCTTTTTGGTGACACTCCCCGTGGTATGCGAAAAAACTGTGTACTGCTATTCGAGAGAGACGCAACAAACTGCGAAAAAATGGTAAGGCCAAAACGCAATGGGAGACTGAAACGATAAAAAAATTAATCGTATGACAGTTGTTGTATGATTTTCGTTGTTGGGTTCACTTGGATGATTTTAGTTCATTTCTGTTCTTGAATTCATTTATTGTTAATACCTTTCAAAATTTGAACGGTACTTCATTAAGTGGTTGATGTTATTTCCTTTTTATGATATGTATGATGAATCATCCCATTTAATGTCAATTATCAGTCAATCGGGTATCTCATATTATTTTCGATGTTAAAGAAATCGGATAGCTCTGAATGATTAATCATGCAATGACGACATGGTAAATTCGCTCAGTGTAGAAACCCCTCGAAAAAAGCCTTTTCAATTCATAAAAATGCCCCTCACGAGTTCTACGCAGCGGTCACTTTCACGTGTTGAAGTGTCAAACTTTTGTTTTGATGTTGCTGCTGTTTTGAAAGCTGGTACTTGCGTCCCAATGTTTTTATAATTATAAGGTACAAGCCAACAGGCTTATTGGTGTTAGTGAATGTGCAAATTTAGTGGTGTTCTTTCATTGGAATTCACGAAAACAGCTGTTGGCACTGACGTAAATCTCACTGTTCGCAGTGTGGAATGTTATGGTAGAGTGACGTCGTCCCTTGAATGCTCAGCAATGTTTACAATATATTTTACTTCTAACACCAACAAGCTGCCTGTTGAGCTGTACCTAATATAATCATTGCATGCGTCCCTCCTGTAATCAGTATTTGGATTCCGGTCTACTTGCTTACTCGTTATTACTGGAATAGGCTATCAAAACATTTTTTCAAAAGATTCAATCTTTTTTAACTAGTTATCTACATAATTTGGCTTAAACGAAGTTCACGAATATCTGGAATTAGTCACCGATGTATTAGCATAAAAGGTTGGTAAGACCGGATTGATTCGTGATTTGGGCGTGCATGCTTTTGTAAACAAATACCTATATCGCCGATTTCTTACGAATAAAAGCTCAATCTCGGAAACTATAAACTCAATTAGGGAGAGGAATGATTACTCTACCATTTTTATTATAGTATGTTAAAGTGATTGAGCTTTTCACCTCGAGAAATCGGCTACTGATCGGTTTCAAAAGCATGTTCGTTGCCCCGGCTCAACATAACCTGTCTGTGTTCACATCGATCAGGAATAGTATACATTTTTCACTTTCATCCATAGACAGGAAGCTTCCGGAATGAACAAGTCCAAACAGGATACTTTGTCGCGTAATCACAGTTTTAGTGGCAAACAGAAGAAAATCGGAGGTAAGAAACCTGGCAAACCATGGAAGAAGCAGTTTTCCACAAGTGAAGAAACGCTTACGGAGAAAGCCAAGACTAAGCTGCTGCCTGCGGAAGATCTGAGATACACGGAAATGGCCAACGGATTTGCTGATATGAAAAATCTAAAGAAATCCAATCAACAGAAGCTGTTCGGCCAAAAAGAGAAAACATCATCAGCCCAAAAGTCACCCCAGCGTACCACCCGCAAGGAGGTTCAAACGAAAGTTGGAAAAGAGAAGAAGACTGATCGACACTCGTTGAAGAGTGTCGAAAACAGAAAAGCTACCAAAAAGCAAACGCCACCAGAACCTACTAAAGCGGATCGCCAGCAGAAGCGAAAGAAGAGCCAGATCGATGCCGTAGAGACGAAAGCGAAGAAAAAGAAACGTTCGCAGTCGGAATCCGACAGCGATGCGGACGATTATATGGACCGATTCTTCCAGGATGTTTCGGATGGAGATCCGGAAGAAGACCCGACGGCGCCGGATCTTTACGGTCTTCCACCGATTGGTGGCGAGGAAGAGGAAGGATCGGACTTAAACGAAAGCGAGTCCACCGGTGGTGATAACGAGCAAGAGAACGATGAGAATGGCATGTCGTTGGAAGAGTTGGTCGACTTTTACGGCAAACATCAAGATAGGGCTACTGATGGTGGAAAAGCCGGGAAGCAGAAGAAGACAGCTGGTAAAGCGGGTAAGGTAGAGCGGAAATCGAAATCTTCTCAGGGAAACGATTGGATTGAGGAAGATAACGATGTGGATCTGGTTTACGATGATTCCGACGGAGAAAAGGAAGCCGGTTGCAAAATGTTGGTACCAGCTGGTAATGGTCGAATTGAAAAATCAGATGATGAGCAGGAATCTGCGTCGTCGGAGGAGTCCGGCGAGGAAGAAGAGGACGAAAATGGATGGGTAAATTTGAAATGTTCTATGTTGTACAATAATTCATGGTTGTTTCCCTTTTAAAGATGTCCTTGGAACATGAAGGATCGGATTCACAGGAAGCGGCTGATTCTGATGATGACTCAGCCACTTCCGATTCGGATTACTCTGAAAGTGAAGTGGATGATGATGAATCCGAACTGGAAGATGATGAGTTTTCTTCGGACTACGATTCAGATGATTCCGACGATTTGGATGACTCGGATGATGAGTATCCTTCGTACTGGGACGAGTCGTACGATAGTGATGAGGACGAAGATTACATCGCTGGGGACGAGGACGATCTGTACATCAGTCGAGGTGCAGCGCAGATTTACGAAATCACTGACAACCAGGTTTCATTCAACAGTGATGTGGAATCGGCACAGATTGTGGAACTACCATGCGACGACGTAAGAAAGCGCTCGTGTATATTCAGCGTAATCGAGAGTCAGGAGCCACACGATGATAAGGTAGGCTGTCCGGAATTGGTTCCCATCTACGACGCGGAGGGAAATTTGATCGACAGTCTTGAAAAATTGAATCGCAGTAAGGTAAGAAAAACAGGTTATATGTAAGATGGAAAAGTGAATGGATTTTGTTTTCTTTTTTCAGATTCTTGAAACAAATGCAAGTCAAAAGCCATCGTTGTTGAACCAGAGTTCGCCAGTTCCTAGCAGTGCTGAACGAGAATTGATGGAAGAGGATACACCGCTACCCACCCGCAATTTGAAAGATCTTGCCAAACAGGATGACGCGATGGATGAAGATGTGGATCAAAATGCTGATGCCGACTCCAACTACCGGATCTATGATTCGATCGATATGCGTATGTCGCTGTTGGTGCTGAAGGAAACCCTCTACTTCAGTGGACACCTGACGATTCAACCGTTGGTTGGTGGATTGGAAGTGATGGGTTACTATCTGAGACCTGGCGAATGCCGCAGTGTGTATGCCGTTCGAGGTTTCCATAGCTTGAATTTAAGTCCCCACGCCGAAGCGACTCCAAGTTCAATGGAAACGATTCGGAAGGTGATGACGCGCGTGGAGAAGCACTTCCAGGTTTTGGATTTGCAGGAAATCCAGGAAAATTTCGATCCGGCGGTCTCAGTTCTAGTTTTACTGCAAGCGAACTGTAATAACAAAAAGATTACGGTAGTCGACAAGTACCTTTCGGAAGATCTGCTTTTCCCAAGGGTGGAGTTTTTGAAGAAAAGCGTATTATTCACCACAGAATACTTGCTGAATGTTGAGTTCTACACAGAGCACGTGGACAAGAGTACATCTTTGTACCGGAGCGATCCAGAGTGGGACAAGATAGACGTGAAAAATAACAGCAAAATCGTAGTGATGGGTGGAAAGGGATCTGGCAAGTCTACGCTGTGTCAGTATCTTGTCAATAGGAACGTAGCCAAGTTTAGGAAAGTCATCCTGATTGACTTGGATATTGGTCAACCGATCCAGCACATTCCGGAAACGATAAGCGTAACAATCGTGGACAGACCGTTACTGGGAGTTGCCACATTTAGTCCAATCAAACCGGTCAAGAGTTGGCTTTTCGGAAGCCTCAACATCGTATCATCACTTATCTTCTACATTCAGAACGTACGACAATTGCTCCGCTACTGCGAGCAGCACAAATCCGAACTTGCCAACGTGCCCTGGATTATCAACACCATGGGGTACGTGACGGACTTTGGCGAAGAACTGATGGCAGTGATACTCCGGATGTTCTCTCCTACGGACGTGATTCAGCTTGTGTCGACCAACAAGTTACTGGCCATACCAAACTACCAGAACCGCCTAACATGCGAATTCATCAATCAGTTCAGTTTCAACATTCTACGAAGCGAAGTTCAAGAATACATCCAACGGAAAGCAACATTCAAACATTATGAACTGAATGTTTGCTACCCGAAAAAGGGATTCACTCTAAATGCCCCGAAGCGCCGGTTTCTGATGCTGTTGGCCCATTTGGCAGACATCTTGAACGACACATCCAGTGAGTGGTTCAACGATGTGAAACCTTTCTGTGCCCCGCTAAGTCAGCTGCAGGTACTTGTCACCCGGGAAGATCAAACCTTGGCAGATGAACAGTTACCATCGGTGTTGAACGCCACTCTCGTCTATCTCTGCCAAAAAGTTGACGGTGGGTTGTACGAGTGCTTGGGAATCGGTATGTAAACAGTAAACATTAGCAATCGAGTAACAGCTTAATCAATTCGGCTCTCTTCCACTTTCCTCCAGGAATTGTTCGTGGCGTGGACAAGAACAATAACGTATATCTGCTGCAGTCGCTTCCGGCCGAACGGCTGGCCGATGTGAACGTGTTGGCCATCTGCAGCAGCAGTCTACCGAATGCTGTCTTCCTACGGCAGAGCGCCAAGATTCAAGGAAGTATTCCTTATGTGTACAACATCGACTGAAGAGACTGGGAAACAGTTACCGGTACCGTTAGTGATTAAGAGTCTGTACATTCTGTGTTGAGATGGTTGTATTTATTTCCCAGTTAAATGCGTTTGCGTGCATTAAAAGCAATACAAAGTAATCTATTTGTGCATATTTATCTTGTTCATTTATCTAACCTAGACTGCTTATAATCGCATATCAGTCCCATATGGATTTGGGCCAATTTTAAGATAACAACGCTGGTGCGCGTTGGCCAGATTTGGATTTTTCAGATATCTAGACTAACATTTGAAAGGGGCGGAAGAGCCAAAATGTAAACAAACCATATTTTGCCACATATAGAGAGAATAGTTCACAAACTACTCGATAATCACGAAAAAGCAGAAGAAAATATCACTTCAATTAATCAAAAACGTTTCTTCTTACATGGCGTATTTCCAACTTTCAACTCTGATGCATCTGGTTGTTACGCCTTGCACCAGAACTACGAATTATATCGTTTTAATATGCCGAACGTATTGATTCTGTAGTACCTAGTCACGCCCGATTCATTTGAAATGCATCCGATTGATAGTTCACGTGTAAACAACGAACAAAAAGAAGACCAAAAAAATCTTCGGGTGTAATGTTTTGTTTGTTTGTTTATTAAGGACATTTTATTTTTTACATTTTACGTAATTCCACTCTAACAAACTTTGCGAACGAAGAACCAAGGCGGAACAACAAACAAAAAATCCAGAGGGTGTACTTCCACGGCGTATCACCAGTGCTGGCAGTTCAAAGGGTGGAAGATCCGGGGGGTAACAACATGTATGAAATTATCAGGGCGTATGATGTTTTCTTCTCAATTTCACGACAAAGAAAACTTTTTTTGAGTTTTTAGTGATGCATGATGATAGATTACACTATTAACTATACGTAAAGCTTATAAAATCATCCCGAAAATGGAAAGTCGTGAAATAGGATTAATTTTTAGGTCATCAAAATTCAGAAGCGATTTTCTCGATATGGTCATTTTGGAATTACGCCCTTTTCAAATGTTAGTCTAGATATAATCCTAAATAGGACCTAGATTATTTAATACTCTAGTAACCTCAAGTCCGTGCTTTGTCACAATGTTTCATTGTGATTAATCAACACTCAAAGGGGTAAAATATCAAATTTGGGGCGATTTTAAGGAAAGGGAACTTGGGGGATGTACCTCATCGATTCTTCCGGTTCGCCTCCTAGCATCGTGCTATAAGGTACCAGGCGATAACCAGGGTAGTTGATCGATAGCTCGATGACGTCGTTTCGTTGGCGTCTGCAATGGGAAATTCTCACGACGATGGGACGTTGTCGAGTTGTTGAATAGCAACTATCGTGGTAACTCACCGATTACCTGTCAATCTGCCAAATTTGGAAAGATCTGCTAAATTTGGAATTGTCTCATATAAAAATATTCCGCCCACTATATCACAAGAAATTGCGAGTAGCTGAGTGGAATGGAGATAAGTTAAGCATTGGGTACAGGACCAAGGTGATGAGCACAATAGAATCATCAAATTGCCATAAGGTACGGAATGAGACTATTGCATGGCTGGTTAGTCAAAGTCTTCCATGCGTTAGTCATTTCAGGTGGATCAGAACAGGTTTGGGGTGGGCGTTGGCCAAATTTGGATTTTTCAGATATAATCCTAAATAGGACCTAGATTATTCAATACTCTAGTAATCTCAAGTCCGTGCTCTGTCACAATGTTTCATTGTGATTAATCTACACTCAAAGGGGTAAAATATAAAATTTGGGGTAAATTTGAAAGAAAGAGAACTTGGAGTGTAGAGCGCACTGCCCACTGGATGATTCTGAAGCCTGGCCAAGTGAGTGGGGTATGGGTTTATTTGCTTGAACGTAATTTCCAATGTATATATTGATACATTCAAACTATTGGCATTTGAGATAAGACAGAGATAGGATGCGGAGGGCCCGCTTAGGAGGAGCGTAACCCATGTTATGGTTTCCATTTATTAAATAGTTCAGATAGGCTAGAAATGACAGGTTTATAGTGAGAGAATGTACCATATTGGGAAAGCATAATTTTCATAGGGTTCTCAGAGCGACTGAGCTGTTCGGTTGTAGTTTGACCTTCCTTCAAAACCAATTTGGCTCTAGAACAATGTTTAACTTGTTCTGCCCTCCCCTTGTTTAGTTTTTGCACCTTGCTGTTGGTGGGTGGGCTTAATGTCATGCTTTATAGTGGAGTGTTGGAGACGGTAGGTTTATGGCCGGCGTTGCTGGCTCATGCCGCGATAGAATGGCGTCATGGGCAGGCAATGGGGATTACTAAGCTTCTCCTCTCTGATAAACCACTGCATGAGAGAACCAAAGATCTAGTCTAGCAGTGATAGTATCACACTTGTTACTCCTTTAATTGAGAGCCGTAGTACCATAGAGGTAACTCTAAGACTAGAAGGTCCCGAAATTACGTGCTCAACTTTTTGCTCAGCTCTGGTACTCTCTTCGGTCCCAAGCTAATCGATTCACCCCTCGAAACATAGGAAAAACCACTAACCCCTCATTTTATCTGTCTAACGTTAATCGTTTGCTTGGGACCAATAGGCTAGTCAAGTAGTGAGCCAATTTAAAATCGTTAGTTTCGTATTGATTGTTGGTAGTACGCTTACGTATAGGCACAGACGTTGGGTGCGATACTGGCGGGTTTTGCCGCAAATCACTCTTATTTTATTTATTTTTACGCAGATAGATTTATTTGGGTTTGCAAGGGAATTATACTATTGAAATATTTCAAAAAGTGCAAAACGGTGCTCCTTCTATTTCCGTGACAAGCTTTCTTTGTTGTTTTCATTGAAGTATTACTCAGGAAACAATGTTAAACATCATTTTTGTACATGGTATTGTAACTAATCTTATATGTGCTTCATTTTGATTTGGGATAAGTGTTTGAACTATGGCTCGGGATTTCCACTGTGGTGTGCTTCTATTGTGACATACCCATACGTATTTTTGTGGTGTGACATAGTGGAAGCGTGTGAACATAGTTGGAGCATATACCCTATATAATTTAAAAATCAGCTAGGAAACTAACTTCAAAATGAAGCATTTTAGTCACATGAAGGTGCTACCTGGGTCGAACTAAGATATAATAAATAGGTATAGGCTTAAATCAAAAGTACTTGAAACACGTTTAGTTTTAGATTACAAGCACAAGTGAAGGTACCTAATAAAGCATGGGTTATGATTGATTAGGTGAATTAGAGCTTTTAATAATTTATTAAATTAGACTAATGAGATATCATAATCATCAAATGAAGTTAAATAAGAAACTTCAGAAAGTCTAATGACATTAAGTAGATTTACAAAAGAATTAGGATGCGGGGGGTCCGCTTAGGGAGGCAACTAACCTTTAAAGTTGTAGAATAAATCTTCTTATTTAGTCTTGAACTTTAAAAATAAAACGCAAGCAGACCAATAGCATTAAGCAGATTAACAAGGAGAGGAATAGTTTAGGAAATAAGTAAAAGTAGAGGTATGTGACAATTAATAACTTTTAAACTTTTGAAGCTATTGTATTCTCCTGAGTTTATTGTACTCGATTACTATATTATTCTCTCAATACGCGAAATCTCTTATTTATGCGGTTAAAGCATTTGAGTTAACTTATTTCTTAGTGTTCAAGTACTTACATTTGTAAACAGCAGTCAATGTTAATCTATGAAATAAACCCTACGTAAAATCGATCTTTTCTTATGTTATATTGATGCATGTTTAACTTTTCGTGGCTGTCGGAATCAACGCGCCTACGGAGCTTACGCAGAAGTGATTCGCAATGCGGTAGAGCTCACTAAAAGTTTTTTGAGCTTCTGTAGTATATAATTTGTTCGGTACGGTCCCGAAATCTTGAAATGATTGATACGTGCGGTAAAATAACTAAATTGAAACAAAGCTCAACAGTAAAATAAGTAGAATATTTAGGGAGGAAACCAAAATTAATCAACTTGCCAACATACGAAAATAGTCAAAGTGAATTTATTTTCTATGATTTGAAAGTTTTTATTTGACTATCGACACGTAATTTAAAAAGTTCACATTTTTAAAACAAAAATTGTTCAAATGTCAAAATGACCTCCTGAAAAGCTCATTGTCATTGTCCAAAAATCTAATAGAGTTCGCTACCACCGTTAGTATTAGTGAGAAGTTTCACTAACACATGCATTTTACTGGTTGAAAATAAAAAAACAAACCCGATGTCAAGTCGAACACTTTGACAGCTGATTTCGTGGTTGAAAATAATAAACAAATCGATTTTACACGGCTACGCTCGCTAGGTTGTATTAGTGAGATCTTGCGTCGAGAAGTCAATAGGGCATATAAGGTAAGATACCGCAGACCGCAGACCGCAGACCGCAGAAAATCAATTGTGCATCGTACACTTCCGAAATTCCACAACCGGGGGAACCGATTCAGGTACCGGAGGCAGTGAAAAAGATTGAGTTTTTCGCAGAAGGTAAGATTGCTAACTGTCTACATATTTCAAGGATGATTTTGAACATGAAATTGATAACAGCCGAGACGTTTTTGGTGGCTATCAATAGGGATTATAGACTCCGTTCTTTCCTACTGGTAAAATTCAGACGCCCGATCCATACCCGGCTTTGGTGCTTATCGTCGGCCAGCAACGAAAGCAAGATGCACTTTCGTTCGACCAAGTCCGCTGCACGTTGGAACCCCGCATTTAGGAGAAAACCTTCATTATCCGCCGAAGACTACTATCTGTTCCGAGACTGAGTTAGATTTTTCCAAACAACATCCATCAGTTAGTGAAACATAAAAATTAATTACTTTTTGTAAATAATGGCTTGAGCTGTCGATTTCTCGCATCTTTAAGCTCACTTCTTCAAAATAACAATGCTAGATGGTTCCTCTCCCATTCCTCTACCTATTGGTGTTATTATTTTTCATGAGTGAGCTTTTATCCGCGAGAAATCGACGGCTAAAGCCAATGTTTACAAATGCAATGAAATGTTGGCACTGACTTACATTAAAATAAATATTGATTATTTTCTGCATGCATCATAAAAGCAATTAATTTAAAAAATAATTTGTAATTGAGAGATTTTTTTGTTTGTAGTGAGTATATGATATTATATTCTCAAATTTGAGTCAATTGAACTTAATTTTGGGTAGAAAATACTCACGAGTAAGTAATTATTTTTGCCGTAGTCAAATGTAAACTGCTATAAGCGGTTTACTGAAAATTAGCTTTTTGAACGGAACATAGGAGATGAGTGAAAAGAACTTAATTTTGGGTAATTTTTCGGTTCCGTGTTGTTAGAATCAAGAGCTTTGAGTGCACATAAAAAAAAGTTGTTGAATATTACAAACAAACTGCTGCAACCAGGTCAGTCCATCGGTTGTGTAATATAACGTTGTACGATGTACATCGATTTTGCGAACAAAATTACATCCACTGATGTAATATTGTATCTGCTTTTTGCTATTACATCACTATTTCATACATCAGCTTGAATTAATATGATCGATATTAGATTTCTTTTTTACTGTATGTGTTGGTTTATTTCCTTTAAATTCCGTTATAATTGCTTATCTTTTGTCAAAAGATAAGCAATTATAACAGAATTCAAAGCAAATAAACCAACACACTCAAAGCTCTTCATAAAGGGATTCCGTTAAGAGGTTCGACAAATTTTAAAAATTAGTTAGAATCAAATCGACTTCGGTTAGGCATCTTGATGTCATTTGCGACAACTGTCAAACTTTCCGTTTCCACGCACATTAGATCCGGATCGGACGCGTTGCGGCAAAGTGACAGCTGTCTAACTGTCAAATTTATGTCAACGCAACGCAAACGGATCTAATGTGGGTGGCCCTTAACACTCAACACTCGACAACGCGCGTCAATGATGAGTTCGACCAATATTGTAAAGTGAACCCTACACGATTGCTTTTATTGACAATAATCGTATTGTCAATACATGCTATATTGACGTCAATATATCGAGATTGACAATATTCATGAATTCACATCATCAATATTATTGTCAATAATTCCCCTTCGCGTCAATATATTGATGCGTGTGGGGTTTGCTTAAAGCACGCGGGATCACTCTCAACTTCACAACACCTTATTGGCCACAAGAAAAGGGCTTGGTGGAACGATAAAATCGTTCCTTGCTGAAAAGGCTTCAGTTCAGTCATGGACTGAAAAGAGATTGGAAGGCCGACCTTCAAGCACAGACAAACAGACATAACACTTCCAATCACATTCATCGCAAATAATGTTTTAGTTGGGAATGTGCTTGCATGTGTCATGGTGGCGCAACTGAAGCATTGAGCAAGCCACCACATTTCAAACTTATCAGTGTTGCCAGTTCTTTTTCACTTCTAGTTAGTAGATGTCAGCTCTTGAAAATGATAAGTGGTAAAGGCATCCCACTGGTCTTCAGTGTGTCTCATCTGACGAATACAGAAAAAAATTGTTGAATATTACATCAAAACTACTGCACATTAGTCATTCATTACGTTGTACGATATACACAGCATTCGAGAACAAATCATGTTGATGACTGTAATATTCTATCAACTTTTATCAGTTATTGATGTTCAATACTTCACCATGAATATCATTGATTGATACATTTTAGTTTTTTTCTTCTGTGTACACATTGAAGTGATGAGCGGTGGTAAAAACGGCACTAATAAGTGATGCTTTGCTTCGTTTAAAAACGTTTCTCCTGCAAAAGAAAAAGCACACTAAGCAAACCAAACAAATCCATAAAAAAAAGTATTAGCTTCTGAGAATTTTCCCTACGGATCCGTATTTCTGCAGAATTCAATCAATTCTATAGATCTTCTGAAAAATTCATAGAACCGACATCACTGACTTCCATCTGTTTTGTTTTTATTCAACACAGCTGACGCGTTGACAGAACGAGGGAAAAGCAACTAGTGAAAAAATTACAAGCACGAGGGATGCTCCGGTTGCAAAACATTGCTTGGGAATGTGGATGATAGATGGTGCAAGCATAGAGGTAACTCTAAGACTAGTAGGTCCCGAAGAAACGTGCTCAACTTTTTGGCTCAGTTCTGGTACTATCATAGAGGTAACTCTAAGACTAGAAGGTCCCGAAATAACGTGCTCAACTTTTTGGCTCAGCTCTGGTACTCTCTTCGGTCCCAAGCTAATCGATTCACCCCTCGAAACATAGAAAAATCCAATAACCCCTCATTTTATCTGTCAAACTTTCATAGCGAATCAAAACAAACATTGTGTAGTACTAGAATTTTGATTAGAATGGGGTACGTTAATCGATTTGCTTGGGACCAATAGGCTAGTCAAGTAGTGAGCCAATTTAAAATCGTTAGTTTCCACCGGATGGTGCTAGCAACAATCAATACGAAACTAACGATTTTAAATTGGCTCACTACTTGACTAGCATATTGGTCCCAAGCAAATCGACTAACGTACCCCATTCTAGTATAAATTCCAGTACTACACTATATTTGTTTTGATTCGCTATGAAAGTTTGACAGATAAAATGAGGGGTTAGTGAATTTTCCTATGTTTTGAGGGGTGAATCGATTAGCTTGGGACCGAAGAGAGTACCAGAGCTGAGCCAAAAAGTTGAGCTCGTTTCTTCGGGACCTTCTGGTCTTAGAGTTGTAGCGCGCAAAATGCGGCTAACGGTTTTCCGTCTTCTGGATCGTTCCCTGGCTCGATAAACGGACGGCTTAAGCGCCACCTCCAAGGAGGACCGTCCGTCGAGTCTTGTTTGCCCGGCTAGAAACCCGACCTCAGGGCGGGTTTGTTCAATCAGAACCAAAAATTTAATTTCAAACGAAACAGAAGACTCAAACAGCACGATGGATCGAGATTCTCCACACAAAGAGGTCGCCACAATCGCAACGAGAGAATAGTTGATGCTACCGGTCGTTCTACCTACTCACGAAAACAACACTCACCAGTATCATCACCGGAGGAACTCACTTATTCAAAGATCCCCGCCGATCGAGACACGTGAGTGGAGAGACTGATTTCCCAGGCAGTCTAACCTGGCGTACAAGAACATTAACACAAAAAAGTAGAACGACGCGAAATGTGAGAATACTCGAAACCAAAAAATAAGTTACATGGGAAACTTTAACATTTAACGGAAAAACATTTATTGGGGTAAACTACTATAAAACATTTAAGTAAGTTTATTTAATTGTATAACCTAGGTTTTCATTTTTCGTGTTTCTTCCTCTCTTGTTCCCTACTGTGTGCGGATTTTGATCTAGTGATCGCTAGCTAGCTTTTCTCATCGAGTTCTTCGTGGTGTGTGTGTGGTGTCGTTAACGCATGCGCATGGTTAGATAAATTGTTGGGTTTACTCACGGTACCGAAATAGCTGCCTGATGAATTGGTCGGCAAAGCAGATACCGGCTGGTTTGCCGCGGTATTGTGGCTATCGCCCGAAATGCGGCGATTGGCGATGATGCTGCGGAAATTCCCAGTCGATGGATGGTCTCGAAGCTGGTACTGAAATCGCGCCGAAATATGAATTGGCGCTGTTGACGACGTTGGGACGTCGATGTACGTGGCGGAAATGGCAAAATGGCCGCTCTGTCGAAACGGTTTGTTTCCTTCCGGCTTTCCCCTCAAGCCGGGACTTTTGACGCAGAATCGTGGGGTCGAGAGTCGCGCTTTATCTCGAGATGCGGTGTGCCGAGCTTCGGCCGTATATCGCTAGAAGCGAATCCTACATAAAAAGCCGTCGAACGGCTTTTCTCTCAAAAATTGACCGCACGTCAACTTTGACCTAACTGATGAACTTTAGGCAATTAAAACACAGCGCGACACAAGAAAACTATTTCACGCACTCTCGCCTCTTCCACGGTCCAGGACCTTTCAATAAGAGTCCGATCCTTGCGATAAATGCGAGAATGACAACTGTAAAAAAACCGAATGCTTCATCATTTCTCAATAGTGATGGAGTAATACGACATGCACTAAACTAAGGACACGGTATATACTACAATAGATCAAATTACTGGTCGCAGTGGTGTTAGGTCCTGAACAGAGGAAAAAAAATCGTTTCACTCCACCGAAAATTCTCATAAGAAACTGTCTATATTTGCAGGAAGAGCAAATTTTTCAACGGTCCCGTCAACGCCAATGGGTCTCGTGTGACTGTGGAAGACAACACATTACCTGTGGAAGACAACACAAACTTACCTATACCTATATACTCATCTCATCTAAAGAAGGTTGGTAGAATCACCACCTGACGGATGCCACGAGCAAGAGATTGCTGATGCTGAAGCTCGGAAGAATCCACGCAAATATCCAGGATTACCAGATGCATCCAGAGACTGTACGTTGTAAGGTGATACTTCCGGTCTACAACAGAAAAGGAGATGTGGTAGCGGAGCACATCTACTAGCCCCTCGTTATGGTAACGGTGGATGGTAGCGACAGGAGGTAAGAGAGACAGCGTGAAAGGCGATCAAAGAGAGTACACGTCGGTCTGAGGATTATTAATACAAGCTGAAGTTTGATAAGTCTAAATATCGTAATTTAATCTAAAACGGGTCCGAAGTAATACAGTCATCATCAGTCCTAGTGCGGATGCAGCATTTATAGATCAGTGCACGAAGATTTGCTGCACTCTTCTCTCACCCGTAAATTTTGACAGTTTTGTTTTGGCTCCCATTCGTTGCCATCTCTTTTACTCAGAGACAAAATGATTGGAACCAAAAAGTAAGGTTAGGGACCGCGCACTGCTCTATTGGAATAGATGGAAGAAGTCACGTTGAAGTCACGTTGACGTAGATTATCGGGGAATGTGATATGTAATATGCAATGCAAAAGTAAATCCTGATTTTTCTTACGTTTTATTAAAAAAATGTACAATTTGGTTATCTTTTTCACTTTTTTCATACCTCATTATCTGTACTTCCTGCGTTGGCAATTTTTGCTTTCCAGTTCATATTTTATGTTCGTTTTTTTATCGTTTTCGTAAATTGATTTAAGGTTGTGGTTTCGCATTGATTACATCTTACTAGGTTTTCTTTTATAATTCTTGTTTTTGTATAAGTCCTCTATCAGTGCTTGAGTATATTCTACAGTTTAGTTTTCGTTCATTCCCTTGGTTTTGCTTGTTATTCTCTGATATTTTTTCTCTTTTGTTGTGTTTGTGTTTACCGTTTTAGACATTGAATTGCAGTTTGGGTTGTTTTTGAAAACTAATTTGTTGCTATGAAAGTGATTTGTTTGATTTTCAGTTCTATGGGGTAAGTTCCGTACCAACCGAGAAAAGGAAAGCAAAACTTAATTATTTGCTTCCCGAGAAGAATTAAATACCTAGGGCACGGAGGAGAATCCCGACTCTTCAATGACTTTTTTTTTAATTGCGGGGAAAACGGGAAGTGAGGCGATTCTCGTTACTTCTCACGCTCTTGGTATACTTAAAGTACGTTGTTTCTGTCCCTTACGACGATTGATAAATTGTTTTACGTTCTACATAATGAATTCAAAGTAATGCTGTACATTTTTCGGTTTTAGTTTTGTTTTGTTTTAAATAAATCATGAAACTGGACTTGTCCAAGTGTGTGTTTTTTTCACATTCGTACTGAATATAATTGTATGCGACTGTATCATGTTTGCTTGAATCTAATGATAGGCTCCCTAATGGTTAAAAGTATATATATCTATATATATTTGTAAAAAGCGTTACACTTAAATAAATCCAATTAAAATTACCGAATTACTATCATTTTGTTGCATGAGTTAAAGAGATAATAATTTACAGTAAAGATGAAAACAAAAATAACCATCGAAACATTGATACTTTATTTTGTGTTGCTCGATAAATGGCAAATTGTATAGTTTACAAATTTTTTTGTCTGATTTTGGTAGTCGATTGTTGTTGCCTTTTCTGTTCATTCGAAACCAATGCAATTTTATGTAATGTTCATTTGGTGCTGGTCTGCGAAGTTTCAATTCCGCATTAAGTTTTTTTTTGTTTATTTTTAGTGGGACGTGACTAAATGCATGTTTTTTTTTTGTGTGTGTTTGAAAATTAAAGGCAAAGAATCATACCTCTCCCGTTCGTTTTACTACATTTCGTAATTATGGCAGTTGTCTGTTCGCGAGTTTTGGAAACTTTGATAAGTCGGTATTATAATCAAATCGTCTCGTGTGCTCCCATGCAGGAAAATTGAAAGAATTGAGATCAGAACCATTCTCGTAAGGGGTTCTTCATTTGGCATGAGCTGCCTACGTTCACATAGCAGTGCCATATGAATTTTCGTCAACACTTTGCACTGTCTATTATAAACACTTCATTTGAACAGTTTAAAATGACAATTGCAATCACTCGAACTTAGAAATAAAATATTATTTTGAGATTATTTCTTCTTGGAAATTAGTCAACATTTATACTTTTTACGGAACATATATGATGAAGCCATTCGGCGTTTACTTAGATAATATTATGTGATATAATCAAGGACTTTGTCTTAATGATCCAACATAACTGCATATCCAACACGTCTTGAAATACGATCTAAATTGGAACAAATAAATGAGGCAATAAAACTCAACGAAAAATCTGCTAGTTACCTAAGCTTCAAGATTTGTGAGCATTTTGTGACATTTGAAATCAAAGTCTCACGTTTCACATTCACTCTACCGTCATATCAAAGACAACTTCATGCTACATGAAGAACCGCCCTGGTATAATTGGTGGGACCAATAGTAATGGTTTTTATTTTGGTTAACTGCCGCTCATGGCAAGTCCGTCCCATAGCACAAACCAGCAAGCCGACAAAAATGCGTTTAATGTTTGCTTCTCATCATTGTTTCTTAAGTAATGGGTTTGGTAATTTTTCCAAACTTTTCCATAACAAAGTTGTTGAGTTCGTCTAGTATTATGATAATATGGGTGATTAGCTGCCATCTCCATTGAAAAATCAATTTTGACAAAAACGCAAATGGGACCGACTTGCGATGAGCAGCAGTTTACCTTTCCTAAGATCTGTTCGTTCTGTTATGTGTTTGCCTTTCACGGTTCGTTTCCAATGTAAATTCACCTTTATTTCAATTTCAATCATTTTCGTTTTTACAGCGCAATATAGAACTGTTCTCCGCCTTCGGATGACTCTTTTTGTAATTTATAAAATTACATTATTCACACTTCTGGCTGCCGCCTAATAGTTAGATTGATTAGCCTAACGAGTTCTACGAGCAAATTTACTGCAATTTTATGCGCGCATTATTACACGTTCACTATAATATCTACTTTTTTTTTTGCTAGCCGATTGATTTCGAGAACTGAATAAAATTCTTTGTATTTTCGTCTATCATCTTAAGCTCTTAAACTGCTGCTGCTGCTGCTGTGTGACGGGAACAACTTTTTAAAACTTGATTGTGCGTTTCTCTCGAAAAATGTTTCAACAAGAGAAGGGAAAGATTAAAAAAAAATCAAACGAACTAAAACCTATTTCGAGTGATCGAGGCGGGGAACACTATGGATTCACAATTCTTTTCCGTTTCCGGTACCGGTCCTAGACACAAAACTTATCCTGTAGTTTGTATCCTTCATGCAATGGTTAATTCCATCCCTTACTAGCATACGATGACTATAACACTTGTTTACAAAAATATGAAACTCCTTCTTCCTATTACCTTCCTTCTAAAAAACCTAAATCCTCTCGAAAGACTTTTTCTGTGAAAAAAAATGTTTGAGGATATTTGCTTCCTGTGTTCTTTCCTACATACATATTAACTCATTAATCGTACTCATTGGAGTTAATCACTCCTCCAAGAGCATGCTCCGGTCTTATCCATCGTAGTGCTGCGCTACCTGCCTAGCTACGTGTAGGTTTCCTACCGTTGAAACTGTTCTGGTTGTTACTATTGTTGCTGGAGATGGAGGTGGTGGTGCTGGCGGTGCTGGTGGCACTGCGATTGGCTCGCTTCTAAGGGGACACGTACGGCGGGGGCCTTCGGTAAGACGGGGTTACCGGAGATTTGCCTCGTGATTCGCGGCCACCCATGACCATAGCCGGCGGCGGAACGTACTCGTCGACGTCTTCGTTGTCGCCTTCAATGGAATGATAGAAAGGGGAACACAGGTGAAGCATTATTAGCATTTACGAGTCAAAAAGCTACTGCTGGGCAGGAAAATTTAAAACAGAATATTACCAACGTCTGTTTGTCTGTGGTAAAAGTTTGGACACAGACAAACAGACATAATTCTTAGAAGAAAATTCTTCAAAAAATATCGTCAAGCGTATTTTGCTTGCGCACTAGCACCATAGAGGTAACTCTAAGACCACTGAGTCCCGAAGAAAATCATTATTATTTTTGGCTCACTCAGTACCAGAACAACGGTCCCAAGCAGTTCCAAGCTATTTCACTCACCCCTGCATGTTCTGCATGAATCCACACACCCCTGATGTTATCTGTCAAACTTTCATAGCGAATCAAAACAAACATAGTGTAGTAATAGAATTTCAACTAGAATAGGGTACGTTAATCGTTTGCTTTTGACCAATAGGCTGCTAAAGTGGTGAGCCAATTTAAAATCGTTAGTTTCGTATTGATTGTTGCTAGCACCATCCGGTGGAAACTAACGATTTTAAATTGGCTCACTACTTGACTAGCCTATTGGTCCCAAGCAAACGATTAACGTATCCCATTCTAGTTGAAATTCTAGTACTACGCAATGTTTGTTTTGATTCGCTATGAAAGTTTGACAGGTAAAATGAGGGGTTATTGGTTTTTCCTATGTTTCGAGGGGTGAATCGATTAGCTTGGGACCGAAGAGAGTACCAGAGCTGAGCCAAAAAGTTGAGCACGTTATTTCGGGACCTTCTAGTCTTAGAGTTACCTTTATGATATTACCATAGAGGTAACTCTAAGACTAGAAGGTCCCGAAATAACGTGCTCAACTTTTTGGCTCAGCTCTGGTAATCTCTTCGGTCCCAAGCTAATCGATTCACCCCTCGAAACATAGGAAAAACCAATAACCCCTCATTTTATCTGTCAAACTTTCATAACGAATCAAAACAAACATTGCGTAGTACTAGAATTTCGACTAGAATAGGGTACGTTAATCGTTTGCTTGGGACCAATAGGCTACTAAAGTGGTGAGCCAATTTAAAATCGTTAGTTTCGTATTGATTGTTGATATTACCCCTTTATTTTGACGAAGTAAGTCCATTAGGGTGGGTCAACTTTATATGATGGATCACAACCCCTTGCTCCCCACCAGGCGAGGAAAATCATTTACATTCATTTTGCGCATTCATTTATATTCATTTGTTCGCTCTGATTCGTCATGCATAAGAGAAACGGATTTGACTTGTTAACAAAAGTTGTAGCTAATAACAAAACCTACAAAAGCTCTATACATCATTTTGCGAAATGCTGTTGAAGAAAAAGTTAGAGGCAAATTAATGTAAATGAATGCACGAAATGAATGCAAATGATTTTCCATGCCTGGGAAGAGCATCTATGGTCCACATTGATATGCGAGGTCTCATGCAACTTTGAATGGTATAGGGAACTGGTTCTCTTTCTATTTTGTAAATTAAGGCTTCCAGCGGAGAGTTTTGGCCGTGATGTTGCGACAGTGATGATGAATTTTGAATGTTCTGTGTCAATATTTTTGAAATGTGAATCTGATACATAGGCTTTTAATTATTGCTTTCATGTTCTACTTTGTACAGCGGCGCGATTGTTGAAAGGTTAAACTCATTTCCCTCTACAGAGTTCTTTTCAGAATCGTTCTCTTCGAACCTTAAACTTTGTTTAAGAATTCACTGTAGCTTACTTAATTTTTTTTATGTAGACTACGTCTTACGGGAAGGTACAGGGGGTTGATCGAAATCTAATATTGCGACCGTCACGAAAAGGTGTAAGGTTTTGACCGCTTATAACTTTATCATTTATGGATGAAATTAAAATCAAAATACACCAATCGATAGGAGATAACTCTCAAAATCTGCTACAATAAATGCTTTTCCAATTTCTATTAAAAAAAAACTTTTGAAAAATGTACAAATAAAAAGTGATAATTTATCACTGTTTTATCATGAAACAAACGTTCTGCCCAAACTCAGTCGTCATAATAGAGTACTATTTGGTTGCACATCGTGCTGCTTGAATCTGAAAAGTTATAAAAGAGCGCTGCTTTTGTGCCTCAATCTCAACTCATTTTCGCTTCGGATGGCGGGTGAGCAGGTAGCAGCAGCAGCAGTAGGCACATATACAGATTTATCTGTAATCATACAGATTTTTGTCGATATTTTGATACAGATATCTGTATATACAGATTACAGAATTTTTTGAAATAAACAGAATTTTCAGATATTTAAAATAAGCAGGATATATATTTAAATCTAGATTATATTAATTCATTCCGATACATAATAGTTTCTTCCTTTGGAGCCGCTATGAGCACCAAACCCAAATCGTATTTTCGTTAAATAAAGTATTATTTTATTATCTTCGTTAATTCTAATCGGACTTCTGATGTTCAGATGTTCTTATTTCCCGTTAGAAGGGATGTGAGTTCTTCTTTCTTATTGTTTAATTAACCATACCACAAGGTATTGGGTACTATGGTTAATTTAATTTTGAATTAGTCGAATCGGTAAACAAGCCCTTTTAACAACCCACAAACTGATTGATTCAAAGGGTAAGTCACTCAGCATACTATGCCGAAATTAGATTCGGCACAACTTGGGCACATCCATCGGCACAATCTCGTATACATTGGATTGTTGAAAATAAAATGGGAGCACTCCTGGACAACTGTCATTGATGTTGTTCACAGCATTACGTGCTGTTTGACTGTATGTACAGGAACATCCTTTAGTTGAATATACCAGAGGAACTCAAACCAGCAGTTCACTTATAGATCTAAATACGAAATGTAAGTTCTAGAGTGAGCTCAAGAGGACTTAATCAGACCCCATTAGTACCCTTAATTCAAATAATGCTGCAACTCACACTAAATACGAAATGTAAGTTCTAGAGTGAGCTCAAGAGGACTTAATCAAACCCCATTAGTACCCTTAATTCAAATAATGCTGCAACTCACACAAAACAAACTAAAGAAGTCATATTCATCATCCTCAATAGTCAGTCTCCAACAATGTTCTCCACCGGTTTCGGCCGCTGATAGACCGTTGTTTTTCTCATCACAAAAGGCCAGGCTTCTGGTCTATCTTTGAGGGCAGGACTTTTATTATCCTATGAACACAAAACACCAAAATTTCGCACACCCGCCACTTCCCGCGTCATCCTCAATCCGATTTATACTTGCGATTTCAAACCAAAACATTCAAGGTGTCAAAAATTCCGGGTTGCCGAGATGGGTATTTTCAGACCCCTTTCACTCTTTGGAATTTATAGAGACAGATAACAGCGCCAATAGGTTTGTGACGATACAACTTTGAACTGCAGCGTTGAAAGAAAACACGCACACCAACATCTATGCATGTAAGAATCCACACCACTGAGCAGAGGGTACAGTGCAAATCAAAACACGAAGTAGTGTCATCACTCAGTTCTGGTAGCTTTAGTTTGCGATTCCGGCGGCGTTGACAAATACCTTCTTTATAAAATAGGAAAATAATCATTATTCCAACGTAATTTTTTAATAGATGCGTGCAGCGTTGGCCAAGGAAGACGGCATATTTATTTACAAAGCAATGATTTGAATACGTTGCGTTTTTCGAAATATACTTCTATGCTTATAAAGATTATGTTGAGCAACAAATTCACAAATCATCCATTTTCGATTACTTTTTCGAAGGGACGTATCTGCTATTGTAAACAATGCATTTTACTGATACCGGTGGTGATATTGGAAACTCGTTCACTCGAAAGTAAAACATATTACAAGCCCAGCTTGGGTGTGCCCTTGTATTCTCAAGCGTTTCTGTTGCGTATAACGTGGTAATGATTGAAAATCGATACAATCGTAACAAAGTAAGAATTTTGCTATCGAAATATAATGATGATGACATCGATCATCTTCTTCCCTCGACTGGCATATGTCATACTGACACCTGTCATTTATTGAACCCTGGTGGTAAAGTTGGCGGGGGACCCTCACAGTTTCAATGTGCACTCACTAGATGTCACTGCGATCACATAAGGGTAGTGTATCCATTACCTTGTACGAGGAATTAATTAATGGGATATCTTGTTAATTAAATATCTTTGGTATTTTACAAACAATCGCAGCTTGCTCTATGACCGGCAACATCGGCACACTTGCGGTACACTGACAAATAACATGACGAAAGATTGGTGTGCGGAGTGACCTTGATTACAACAAATAAAACAGCATTTAATTCCACTTAAATAATTTTGGTTTCCATGACAGATACGTATTTTGACTACAATGTGCAGTCTTCATCAGTGTCATTCCCACTAAACACTTATCAAAAACCTAACTCCCTTAAGTACGCATCCCCTGGGTAAAAAATGTCAAGATCACAGGTATAAAAATGAAACTACAATGTGTAGAATCGGAACCTAGCTAACTAATAATAACCAAAGGTTTTAGTAAAGTAAAGGAGAAAAATCTATTCAAATCTCTAATAAGGAAAAAATACGTTACAACTTCATCTTATCAAGCAAATGCCATTCAATGGTGGGACTACACACCAAATTTAAATCGCTGAAAATCAGCAAAATTTTGACTTGATGAAGGATCAGCAAACGTTCCAGCAAAATATGACAACCTTTTACTGAAAATCAGCAATATTTCTTTACTGATCTTTCAGCAATTCAAAATTCTGACATTTGGCAGCATTTTGCTGGTTAAACTATTAAATTCCGTAAATTGAATTTGTTTTCACTATATGAGCTTCCAGCTTCTGTAAAAGATCGTTGATACAAATATACGATTTATACGAATAATAAAGATAAAATCGCCAGACTCTTTTCCAAGTATCATTTATTAAATATAACCAGTGTCCAGTGTCCGAACCAGTGTCCTTACCTACGTTATTTTATTTATTTGTAGTTTTTTTACCTCTTCCTCCTGCGGTTTGACCGGTGATGTACAATACTTGCGACTGTGATGCTACCAGTTGGACAGCTCTTTGACTGGGTGTTAGTTTATGTCAGCTGATTTTTTCGGTAAAAATATCGTTTGATTTTTTTCAGTAAAGCATTGGATTGCTGATCATGATCCAGCAATTCGTTTTACTGATAATGAAAATTAAAATTTGGTGTGTAGGAGTATACTACAGCCATAGAGGTAACTCCATAGAGGTAACTTTAAGACTAGTAGGTCCCGAAGAAACGTGCTCATCTTTTTAGCTCAGCTCTGGTACTCTCTTCGGTCCCAAGCTAATCGATTCACCCCTCGAAACATAGGAAAAACCAATCACCCCTCATTTTATCTGTCAAACTTTCATAGCGAATCAAAATAAACATTGCGTAGTACTAGAATTTCGACTAGAATGGGATACGTTAATCGTTTGCTTGGGACCAATAGGCTAGTCAAGTAGTGAGCCAATTTAAAATCGTTAGTTTCGTATTGATTGTTGCTACAGCTGCCCACCCCCCTGCGGTCCATTTGGTGAATTTTAACTTATATTTGACAAATGGGCAATTTACAAATAAACCTGCTATTCTACCAGACTTATTTCATACAAACCAGGAATCAATTTTGACAAACAAGTGTGTCGATGAACTACTTAAATTTGACATTTCGAAAATAAATTATAATGTTCGAAAATCTCTCTGTTGTTGATCGTGTGATTTTCGAGGTTTTTGCCAAAATTGATTCCTGGTCTGCCAGAAATAAGTCTGGTACAATAAAGGGTGATACGGTCAAAATTTGGTCAAGGGAAAACGCGTGTAAATCGGTGAAATCGTTTATTTAAAAAATCAAATTAAATTTCTTTTTCAAGTTCAATTAGTATAAAATTCAGGAAAAATATTCAGTTAGGCTTCAGCTTTTCAAAATCCGAATTGCCGGGCCTTACGCTTGACCCCTGCCATCAGATTTTGTACAGCCACCTTGTCCACCTTCTTCGCCGCAGAAAGCCAGTTTGCCTTGAACTGCTGCTCGCCCGTAGCAGTTTTTTTGGTCTTCTTTAGGTTCCGCTTGACAATAGCCCAGTATTTCTCAATTGGGCGGAGCTCTGGCGTGTTGGGAGGGTTCTTGTCCTTGGGAACCACCTGCACGTTGTTGGCGGCGTACCACTCCAAGGCCTTTTTACCGTAATGGCAAGATGCCAAATCCGGCCAAAACAGTACGGAACAACCGTGTTTCTTCAGGAAAGGCAGCAGACGTTTATTCAAACACTCTTTCACGTAAATTTCTTGGTTGACAGTCCCGGAAGCTATGAAAATGCTGCTTTTCAAGCCACAGGTTCAGATGGCTTGCCAAACCAGATATTTCTTTGCTAACTTTGACAGTTTCATGTGCTTGAAAACATCTGCTACCTTTCCCCTTCCTTTTGCCGTATAAAACTCCTGTCCCGGAAGCTGCTTGTAGTCGGCTTTGACGTAGGTTTCGTCGTCCATTACCACGCAGTCAAACTTCGTCAGCATCGTCGTGTACAGCCTCCGGGATCGCGTTTTGGCCGTCGTATTTTGTTTATCATCGCGATTTGGAGTCACAACCTTCTTGTAAGTCGATAGTCCGGCTCGTTTTTTGGCTCGATGCACGGTTGTAGACGATACACCCAGCTTATTTGCGGCATCTCGGAGAGAGAGGTTAGGGTTTCGCTTGAAACTACCGGCAACTCTCTTTGTCGTCTCAGCGGCTTCCGGTTTTCGATTTCCCCCCGATCCAGACTTCCTGGCTGTCGACAAACGTTCCCCAAACACTTTAATTACATTTGTAACGGTTGATTTGGCAACTTTTAGCGATTTTGCCAACTTTGCGTGCGAGTAGCTCGGATTTTCGCGATGCGCGAGCAAAATTTTGATACGCTGCTCTTCTTGCTTGGACGGCATTTTGACAACTGAAGAGTGAATTCCAAAATCAAAATAGGAGCAACATTCTACACACACACACCTTCAAAATGAGGGGTGTTCAGGTTTTTTAAATGCAAAATTGAAAGAAATACGTCAAGTTGAAATTGATCACCCTTTAGCAGGTTTATTTGAAAATTTTATATCTGTCAAATTTAAGTTAAAATTCACCAAATGGAACACAGCCACACAGATTGAATCCAACCATAGTATTCGATTTTAACGTTCTGGTTCTACGGGATTTTAGGTATTTCAAGCATAACTATTGAAATCGACGTATCTGATTTCCTGATGAATGTGGGCGTCTTAGTGGAATACCTGTATAATGAGAGAGAGAAGGATTAGTATTTTCCATTTAATTCCACTACTTTATTTGCTTATCCTTGACAGATACGCGTATTTCGTCTACAATGTGCAGACTTCTTCAGTGTCTTGTACTAATACTCGACTACTATTAGTATTCGAGTATTAGTACAATACACTGAAGAAGTCTGCACATTGTAGACGAAATACGCGTATCTGTCAAGGATAAGCAAATAAAGTAGTGGAATTAAATGGAAAATACTAATCCTTCTCTCTCTCATTATATGTATCTGATTTTGTAAACAATCACATCAATCGACGATTTGCTGCAACTGCAAGCTCACTCACAGAAACTAGCAACACCAGCTAGTAGGCGAAAGTTTCCCCTACCTGATGAAGGTGTTTTTTTGCGTGGGTGAGTTAGCAGTTAAGACAAATCGTCGATTGAAGAGATTGTTTATAAAAAAACAGATACGTCAATTTGAATAGTTACGCTTGATTTGTTTAGGCCGCTGCCATACTGAGAGCGAAGAGGCACGCGAAGCATGAAATCGAGTGTAAGGAATAATATCAATAATAGAAATTCTTTTGTATAGAACGCTAAGCGCGCCTCTTCGCTCCTACTACGGCAGCGGCCTAAGAGTCCTATGCTGAATCAATGATAAAATTAACAGGTTGCTTAGGCTGTGAACCATTGGCCAAGTTAAATTTAACTCGTGGTTAAAAGCGAGGGGGGCGACACATCTAAATCTCAAGTTTAGATGCTCAACAAATCTCACACTAGCGAATCAATCTTCGAAAAATCTTCTTTCATTTGGCGCATCTACTTGCATCGTGCATCATCTTTTTGCAGGAAATCTTCTGAATCGTCATCAATCTTCTTTCTGTCTACTCAGCGTGCGCGCAGCTAGCCACAGTAAAACACAATCTTTTCTGCATCGTAGATAGAGTCGTCCCCCTCGGTTAAAAGTGACATTTCGAAAGTTGTTTTCTATGTTCGAAAATCCCCGTGCTGTCGATCGACCGGTTTTCAACCCACGGTTGTCAAAATTTAACTTCTTGTCTGTCAGAAATAACCATGCTCGGATAGCAGGGTTAATCGATAACTTTCCATCTGTCAAATTTTAACCAAAAGTTAAAATAATCCACCAAATAGTTCAGAGCCTTAGATGTTCCATGTTAGTTTCAATCAGCGATGAGATGTATCCTGATGTTTGTACATGATAAAAGTTGGGATGGTTTTAAGGCTGTAAAGCTGTAGTTTTCATGCAAATCAGCTAGACTAGATCGTTTTCAAGTATCAAAACTGAATTATGAAGGCTAGTTTGATGCATTTTTCAGAAGTATACCGAGAATTGGTAACGACTACAAGCTATGAACAATCTCAATTGACCCTTTGCAAATCATGAACGTTGTGATAGCGCACATATTATTAAAACGTTTGATAAAAACTCATTGTCTGTAACACACTGTTAAGAAAATGAATCATTGTCCTCCTTAATCTCCAAACCTCAAATGAAATGTCCTCCTTTTCAAGTTTTTGATATGGTAACCCTACATGCAACTCACCTCAGAATAGTCTTAAAATTATACTCAAAATTATCTTGAAGATCTTCTCTAATAGTACGTTCAGACTATAACTGATATCATGTAATATAGGCTGTCTTGCAATGAGCACTCATACATAGGATTTCCAGTGAAAACTTCATGTATGAGTGCTCATTGCAAGATACCCTATATTACATGATATAAGCCATAGTCTGAACGGGGTATAAAATCTTCTGCAAATTCACTTTGAATGACTCGGAAATTATCCTCGAAATTTTCATAAAACTCTTTGCGGAACGATTCAAAATCGTTCTTGGTATTTTTCTCGGATCTGAATCCTGGAATCCTTTTCACAATCGCCATTGAATTTTCCACAGAGCTATTTACATTTTTTACTCTGATCCCGCATAATTGGAGTCAAAATTCTCTTCGACTTCTTCCTAAAACTCCCAAGGATTTTTTCCCTCTGAAGTACGTTGGTGTTTTATCTAGAACTCATTCCAAAATCTGCTCAAAATTGTTTTGAGATTTTTTTAAATTTTCTTAAAAGCTCTTCAAAGTGACTGTATCCTGTAAATCCAGTCCAGTCCAAGGGTCTTACCATCATATTTTGGTTTCGAAGAGAGGACGAAGTATATTTCTATTCCCGACTTTTACCCGGTTTACCGGTTCCCGCTACCCTGCACTTACCATCATTGTTGGTACTGCTGTAGGACGGTGGCAGCAGCGGTGGTTTTTCGTCCTTCAGAATAACCGGCGACTTGTTGCCAATTTCCGGCTTTTCTTCCAACTCGTCCTGAAATATCACCGGAATGCCCTTGGAGCGGAACGATTTCCGTTCCTCGTCGGTACCTTGATTGGATTGGGATGCGATTGGTTGGAAATTGATATATTCTTCGATTATTGGATAATGTATTAGCCTTTCACCAATTGGGGTTAGTGTGATTTGAATTTTGAGCACGAGTTAGAGTTTGATCGACTTACCAAGTTCCATCTTGCCGGTGAGCCGCCGCCGATAGAGAACGCAAGCGATTATGGAAGCGATCAACAGCATCGCCAGGATTATCACAGCCGGAAGCACAAAGGTGAGAAGGTAGTCATCCTTGGCGATCGGAGGCGGGAGCGCTTTCTCCGGTTCGTTTGTCACGTAGATGGGAGTATCGAAGCCCTGGCAGGTGCCCATCGGGATCATACTCATATTTAAGAGGTTGAACTCTTGGCCGAGGATGTCCTTCACCTTGTTGCGGACCGTTCCGTCCGGATAGAGCAGCATGTTGCGCAGGGCTTCGATTTCGTCATCCGGACAGCGTTGGTGCTGCCGGTAGAGGGTCGTATTGAAGAAGGTTACTTGCACCTGATCGATGTGCCGCATTGGGTGAACCTTTCGGATCTGAATGAAGTTGGTATGCGAGTCTCCGAAAACCTGAGCCAGCCGTTCGATGAATCTACGTTGGGATTGTGCGGTATTGAACTGCTCCTGAGTGGTGTCCAAGGTAAGCTCGAAGAGGACACTGTAGTCGCGCTTGTAGTGCGCTTGATGGACCACGACTACTAGCGCGTCGGTGGCCGTCAGACCTTCGCGATCTTCAGCCATCTGCAGTAAGAATAAGAGATTAGGAAAAAGTGTTTTTTTTTAGGTTTGATTGTGAGTTAAGCTTACCAGAAGATATTCCTTCTGACCAACATCCTGAATTTGAGGAATACCGAAGAATTCGTGATTTTTTGAATCGAACTGCAACCAATGGTACTGATCTAACGGGTTCCGTTCGGTGGTCAATAGCTTCAGCTTAAGATCGTTGCCATCCTCCGGATCGTAGAATGTATCCTGTATGTATAGGCAATATGTTAGATTATGTAGCTAGCTGGGGATCATTAGAGAGAATAAACAAATATTTTAAAACTTACAGCCGGTACTTTGTAAACGAGCAGGTGACCAACCGTAGCATTAACTCGGTCAACCTGGTTTCTTGTCGTTGGGGCATAATTTTTCGTAGCAATCGTCTGTGTTGGCTTAACCTTCGGAATCACCGACTTCAGGCACTGTCCAATTTGTTGTCCCTGTACCGATTTGACCATAATATCTGGATTCAGTGCATCGTTCAGGGCTTTCTCGGTAAGCTGAGCTACTAGTTCGTCCAGTTTCTCTTCCGGGCAGCGGTCCTTTGGCAGGGTTTCATTAGTGTACACGAAAGTTGCGAGATTGGGATCTTGGATACTGTTGCGAACCTCACGCACGACTACGTTGGAGAGGGATGCATCTCCTAGCACTTTGGTGATTCCTCGGATGATTTCAATCTGCCAGTCCACGTTCCTACCGAATTTGCGCTGCAGTTTGAGAGCTAGGCTTATTTCGTGATTGACACTACGGTGTGATTTATGTTGCTGGACGGCGACGTCTACCGTTTCGTTCACGGACTTCTCGCCGGAGTCGGTGGCCTGCAGAATGTAGTGCCATTTGGAGACGTCCTTCTCCAGCGGAAGACCGTAGATTTCCCGTGTTTCCACATTGAACTGGATCCAGGAATTGTTCTTCAACGGGAAGCCGTGACTGTCGAACAGCTCCAGGCGTAGATTGTTGCCATCTTCCGTATCATAGAACGTGTCCAGTGGGACAGGCAGACTGAACACTTTGCCGGCAATGATGGCCTGCTTCTGGATGCGGTTCTTGATGATAGGATACATGTTGGTCGGTTCATCCAGTTCAGTTGTTGTTGGCACGGTGGTCGTCGGGGCAGGTGTTGTCGTTGTAGTAGTTGTGGTGGTGGTGGTGCTAGTGGTGGTTGCTGGCGTCGTTGATGTGCTCGTTGTGGTAGGGCTCGTGGCCGGGACGGTTGTGGCTGCTGGAGTTGTCGTTGGTTGTTCGGTCGTCGTAGACTGTGGGAATATGTTTTGTTAAGTTAGAGATAACCCGAGTAATATCGAAATCCCTAGTGTTCGCTCTCGTCTTTACAAAATTTTTATGAAAAATGGGCTCCGGCGAAGTTGCACATTTGATTGAAATTGGACTAACCAGGATATAGTTTATAATTTACAGTAATTACCTCTGTGCTGATCACCGCCGGCAGTTGACTTCCAGCTTGCCGTCCGGTGGGAACAGCTACCGTAGTAGGTTCCTCTTCAATGTCATCATCGTACTCGTCGTCGTAGTTATCGTAGTCTTCTTTGGTATCCAGCTTTGTTTGAGCTTTATTGCCGCTGCCACTACTTACGCTTGGTTCTGTCGTTATCTGTGACGTAAGGTTCAATTAGGAAGTAGAAAATAAAGACGATTAGGGAACACATTTCTTCTAACTTTAAGATACTAGAAAACTGCTCTTTGAAAATGAAGGACGAATAAAGCATTTGGAAATTGTTATCCAAAAATTTAATGAAAAAAAAAAAATGAAATGATAAGTGTAACTAACGAAAGGGATCCAAAAGCGTTAAAATGATAATTACAGTTATAATTACATGAACCCAAAATCGGAAATTTGCTTTGTACATAAGAAACGAACCGGTACGATAAATGAAGGTGTTAGTTTTGCAAAAAAAAAAAGTAGAAACAAAGGAAACAAAATTTATACAAAAGTTTCGAAACAAATATAACTAGCAGCTGCGAAATTTTACACTATCCGTTGCAAAAAGAATAACTTTGTTGCGATTATTTCATTTTTCATTTGGTTGGGTGCATGTCAGGTTTTGTTATATCAGCAAAGCTTGTCAAAAAGTTGTTTTCATAGTTGATTTGTTTGCGTGTGTCACTTTTGAAAAAAACTTGCTCTAGCTTTCAAATAAAATGTAAACAATCAAAACTGGATTCTAACAGTTCGCTACCTTTGGTTCAAGAGTAGTAGTAGTAGTGGTAGAAGAAGAGGTAGTGGTAGTAGTGGCACTAGTTTCGGCGGTAGTAGTTTCAACAAAAACCACACGTGGCGCTGTTACGAGTTCAAGCGGTGTTGTAGATGGTGTTGCTGTTGTTGTGATTATTGTTGTAGCTGTTGTTGTTGTTGTTACTATCGGAGTACTGGTTGTTGGAGGTGGCTGTGATGATGGTTCGAATGTCATCGTTGAAGCGACACCCGTTGAAATGGAAGCCTCCGTTTCCGTTTCCGTTGGTGTGCTAGTACTTGTTGCCATCTTAGTCGTTGAAGGCATGGTACTAGTGGTAACCACCGTTACTACTGGAGCTACAGAAGCAGGTAGCTCTGTAATTATAACCGTATCTTCGTATTCATCTTCATCCTCTTCCGGTTCTCCTTCTTCTTCGACTTCTTCATCCAGACCAAACGAGAGCGTAGGGGTTGAAGAAGTTGTGGTAGCTACGTTCGTAGCCTGGCTGGTAACCGTATGACTGTCGGTTGGTAACAGTGCGGCCGAAGTTATTGAAATGGTGGACGAGGCTGAGGGTGGCGAGGTTCCCATCGATGTCACTAGCACGGTAGGTGCTTCTTCTTCCTTGTCGGCCGTCTAAGGGATGATTGATCAAGTGATTTTGCAATTATGGCATTTGGGACGATTTTGCGGCGATGGTTTCCGGTTGTTGGCGAACGCGATCGGAAGATTCGAAGGTTTTGTTTTGGTTGTTAAGTATCATTCGGGCCGAGGTGGGTAAAAGTGAACGAGGGATTTGTTATTTCATCATCATCAGTGAACTTTGATTGTTATGGGTAGATATTGCAATCAGAGTGAATGGTATTTGTAGCACTGTACTTTATAAATTATCGAGGGTGCTGTAGTTGCGAGGAAGTGGTGTTGGGTATTATCAAGGTGCGATTCGGTGTCTGGTCAAGCTAAAATCGTGCAGCAACCAAACTATGCAGGTTTCTAATTTACATCATGCTAATATACATTCCTTCAATCAATTCAGTTAACAGGATCTATTAATTCTATGACTGCTGGAAATGTCATGTCCAGGAGAACCAGGGGTTTGAATATGTGAAACTAGTCGTCTCTTTCTTTCCTTCGATTTTAAAAGGAACTGTGATTTTGACGTCACACGAGCTATCTTATAAGAATAATGAGGGAGAATGAAATAGTGACTAATCCACAGACCTGTTCGTCTTGGCATGGTTTGCAATGCATGCTTATTCCACAGACAAGCAGACATAACACATTGCATATTTCTCACTGTAAAACATCGTCACTAAAACATTACCGCCATCTGTTGAATACACTGTGGTGGGCACTACGCTGAACAGATGGCGGTAGTGTGTAAACGTCAAACGCAAGGGAATTGACTATGAGCGCCACAGGTGGTGGTGCTACCAACTACGATACTTTTAAATTGTCCGTTAAATGCATGTTCGATGAACAAATTGTGAGTGTTATGTCTGTTTGTCTGTGCTTATTCCTAGATCAAGCTGAACAATGCATTCCGGTCCTAAGTAACATTGGCAGATACTCTTCGTTGACTTTCTCTTTGAATTGTCACGGCCATGTTAAGACATTCCCAGCTAATTTCATTTTAAACGACAAAAAACGGCAAGAATCGGTTCAGTACCCAAGTTATTAAAGAAAAAGAAAGATGATAAAGGCAATCGATCAATGCTACTTAATACCTAATGCATTGTTCAGCTTGAGATAGCTGAGAGCCACGTGATTTCAAGTCAAATGACATGAAGTGCTGTTTATGGCGACTGTGTACATTTAACTTTCCATTTCTCGAATGACGAATTTTTGCAGTAAATTTCAAATAGTAATTTCTCATGCTTGCGGATCATGATTTAGATATATTTGGCAGCACTGAATTGCTCATACTGTTAGGTGTAAGATGTAAACAAACAGTGTTGAGTAAACGTAAAGATGTCGAAACAAAAGAGCAATCGGTCAGTCGCTGTCGCTTTGTTGCGCGCCGGAGTAAGCTTAATAGAAATAATTCGGTGGATAAATGTGTCTGAAAGAACAGTGTATAATATAAAAAAAAGGCCTGGGAAAGTGATAAAATGGAGAACCTGCTCATACTGCTAATAAAACACAGAAATGGCTTGCGGAAAATATTTCGGAATTTTGGGAGAAAGAAATTTGGCCCCCAAGCAGTTCCGATATCAATCCGTTGGATTATTTTGTACGGGGCATCGTCGAACGGAATACCAATAGAACCCCTAACACCACACTTAAGTCCCTAAAAGCTAAAATCAAGGTAGTGATGACATCTATGGATTAAAACATTGTCAAACGTGCATATGGCAGTTTCCGGAAGCGTCTAGCTACAGTCGTCGAAAGGGAAGGCGATTTTTTCAATAAAATTAGTAACAACTTCCATATTTTGCGAAAGAAAATAAATCACATAACATTCATTGCTAGAATAGCTAACTGGTGTAATTTTTCTCAAATATGTCATTTACTGCAAAAATTCGTCACGCACCCTGTAGATCACTCCACGCAAAGGTTAACCTCAATTTTTGCCATGAGAGTATATGAGATTGCAACAAACGGGAGCTAAAACAAACCTGGTAGAACTGTCAAAATTCGTGAGGAAATGAGACAGGGAGATATTGGTAAGGTTTTGTACAATGATATATTGGCGTTGACGGGACCGTCGAAAAATTTGCTATTCCAGCAAATATAGACAGTTTCTTATGGGATTTTTCGGTGGAATGAAAGGATAGTACAAAGTCCGCCATGTTTCACACAAAGTCTGACGTTTGGTTATGGATTTTCTCATAGGAGTAAAGAGATACAGAGTCGCCGTCAACGCCAATTGAAGGTGCTATAGATCAGTGCACGAAGATTTGCTGCACTCTTCTCTCACCCGTAAATTTTGACAGTTTTGGGTGGTTTATTTTGGCCCCCATTCGTTGCCATCTCTTTTACTCAGAGACAAAATGATTGGAACCAAAAAGTGAGGTTAGGAACCGTGCACTGCTCAATCGGGGTAGGGAGAGATTGACATTCAGAACAGTTATTTATTAGCCAACTACAAAGGTTCTAGAAGCACTTTGGGTTCAAAAAAAGTAATATTGAATGGGGTAGGATGCACCCCCCTTTCTCCAGAAAATCATAATTAACTTAATAACTTTCAACAAAAGATGTACATTTTCTTTGGCTAAGTTGTTTGTTATAAAATTTCCTCTGCTGTATTAAATCATCTATAGACCTACTTTTGACGCTTGAATGAAATTATGCATCTATAAAATCATGATTTCTGCGAATTGAAAAAATGCCATGACAAAATGGATCATCTAGCAGGTTGTGATAGTTTTTTCTCATATAGTATGGACCTCAAAAAAAGTGTTAAAACATAAAAGGGCTCGGTTGCACTTATTGTCGATGCATTTGAAAAAATTATTCAACTATTTATTTATTTACTTTTAAATTGTTATGATGTAAGGTGAAACCTTTAAATAACCATAGCCAGATGCTAATTAATTTTGATAGATATTAATTGAAAAACAAAAACAACTTATGTAAGTTAGTACTAACTTACACGAATAATTCAAAAGTTTTGCTGATTTCCCCTCTTGGTCCAAGCCGCGCAATCTCGCCAAAATACACTGAATAGATTATTGTTTTTAAGGTAGTGAGTTCCAATGAGAACTTCGAAACGGTTGCAATTCACCCTTTAAATAATGAGTTAGTTATAATAATATAATTAAGCAAACACGCAGTTTGACAAATTCATTATATTTACATCGGAGTAATAGCTTTTGAAGGTGACTAGCTGGGGAATATCGATTTAAATTAAATAAATATCTAACAGAGCTATTTAAAGCAATGCATATTTTATTCAGAGCTCTATGATAGCTCTATGAGCATTTATGAGAAAATCTGCACCATACCGAAAATGAGATATAACTAACGACTTGAATAGCTTTCATTTTAAATCGGATTTAAGCATATTGGATGTCAGCCATAGATATCCAAGAACGTTGTATACATTGGAACACAAAGCATATACGTGACTGTCCCAATCAAGATCAGAGTTAAGAATGAAACCAATATTAGTACACTTATCAACGTATTGAATAATATGTTGAACAAGGATTACACCCGGTAACGGGATACGATTTCTGATCCTTGAAATGAACATCAACTTTTGGACTCTTCGTTTCAAGAGATTCACCATCTCATCAATATAAATATTTATAGAGCATAAATATATTTGGACGGCATCAGCGAAAACAAAACTTTAACATAGTAAATAAATCATTAATGTATAATGAAAACTAACGGTCCTTGAATTTCAGTAACAATTTCAGAATTTCAGTCCAATTTCAGTAACAACTTGTTATGAGAAATTCTAGTACTACACTATGTTTGTTTTGATTCGCATGAAGGTTTGACAGATAAAATGAGGGGACCGTGTATTTTCCTATGTTTCGAGGGGTGCATCGATAAGCTTGGGACCGGAGATAGTACCAGAGCTGAGCCAAAAAGTTGAGCACATTTCTTCGGGACCTTCTGGTCTTAGAGTTACCTCTATGATTGTACTATGGTCTCAAATAGCTCAAATTCAAATTTCACTGTTTAGCTGGCGTAGCTAGAAAGTTTATCTGGAAGGAGCCTAGGGGAGGCCTGTTGCATTTTTTATTTTGCAAAACTACGATTTTAATAAAAACTCACCAAGATGCTATTCTTTCAAATTGCGTCAAGGCAACTTGTTTTTGGGTACATTTTTTCTGTGACCAATAATATGACATTGAGGCTTACTACTATTGTAATGGTGAAACAATACATTTGATTATATTTATTTCATAACAACGATTGGGACCTCGATACGGGAAGCCTTTAGAACTTACTGATTTTGAACAAGTAATGATCGTTTGTTCATGCTTTTTGCTATGAAATCACATAGCGTGATCTCATAAATTTAAGCATCTCAAACTTAAGAAAATTCTCAGAGTTAGGTAATTCCATGAGCTTTGCAACTAACTTTTGACGTAGGACTACGTCTGTGATCTTTACATGGGAGTACACTTTGCGAAAACTGAAAATGGAACATGTAACGAAAATATAAAATATTTTGAACGATAATAACTCAGTTGCCCCTGAACCAATTTCAATAATTTTATCACCAATCGATCAAAATATTTCTACGCGTCGATTGCGATTGTTGATTTCCAACAAGAAACTATTGAAAAAGTGGTAAATGTCAAGCATTGTCCAAAAGCGTCTAAATAACTAACAAATCTACCAATTACGTACATGCATATGCTGCTTCCCCAACACAGTCATCAGAGAGTCGTCAGTAGACGAAACAAGTCTAAGTGGCATTCGTCTCCGATCTTCGGGCGTGTGCGAATAGGGAGGGTGCAATTGCGTAACATTTTGCACACTCATCGCCATATTCAGAGCCACACGCCTCCAACGACCACACAAAATGCGCTCCAGAGTTGTAATATTGTAACCAAACTTCGAAGCAGGGTTGCAAGTTATTTTGATCGATTCTCTTCATCGATAACTCGAGGGCAAAAACATTCAATGATACGTTTATTGATTATTGTTGCTATTGAGCATAGCAGAAATAATACAAAATAGGATAGTGAAGCCATGGTCATCAAAAAGGGAAATCGATGAAGAGAATTGACTTTCACCTCTCTACTTCTAAGCCCCTTAATTCAGTCGTCGTCATAGCAATGAAAACTAGCATTGCACCGCTTTTGGTTCTTGGGTTACAATTCTGCTGATCGACATTTTGGAAGGACCACCAAAAAACATGAAATTAAACTATTTTCTAGGGATGCCTAAAATTCCATTATTCGATTAACGATTAATCGTAAAGATTTTTCTAGCTATTCGATTAAATATTTATTGTATTTTAAATTATTCGAGCGCATAACCGACATCCCTTCTTATTTCTACTCGTTTGATTTAGAGCAGTAGGGAAAATAAATAAAAGCACTAATTTATCTGAACAGGCATAGAGAAGATCTATGACGTGAAACAGGATAATAAATTCGTCGAAAAAAGTGTTATCCGTCTTTCTGCTAAAGGCTAAGATTTACCAACCGTTGAGAGAAGGAGTTTAACGAGAAAAACTAAAAACGGGTGGATGGACACTGATATTCTGCGGCCTTCCAACCAATCGCAGACACCAGTACAACACTTGTATAGCAGCAGACGGGCCGAGACTCTAGCGAGTGCCCAATTATTGAACCGAAGAATATGGGATTGTCCGGTCCGATTTGCTGATCCAGCTGCCTACACGTCATGATCATTTACCAAAGGCTTTAGCCTGTACCATCATCGGCTCTTTTCAGGGCCATCAAGATTTTCCAAAAGAGTTAAATTTCTGAACATGTCCCAACTAAAATTCATATCAAAAGGTTCTTTTCAGGGAAATCTTAGTCATACTAAAGAGTATAAACAGAGAGAACCCCGCACAAATTCCTATTCTTACACAAAACACACGATCCTGCTGCAGTTAACAAATAACATTTATTATATAAGACCACGTAGCCCTACATCACCATTGCGTACAACCCCATAGGGCTGTCCCTTGGAATTTTTTATTAGATTTTTAATATTACATCATCAGTTAAATCTCAGACATAGGAACCAAAATCAAATGCTATTAGTTTAAAATTTATAATTTTCTAAAATTCTGGCTCTGGTAAAGTGCACACAGAATAAATGTCATACATTTAGGACTTTCTAAATGTTAAAATAAAAATAGTTTTAAGATCCCATACCCATAGGTTTTCGAGATTTACTAATAACAAATAGATGGTAAATATAAATTCTTCGAATACAAATGTAACTGAAGTCAATAAAATTAGATCAACTGTCTTAATTCGAAGCCTACGATAAAATTGCATTATCCTTCCTAGACAGTCATTTAATAAAAAATCTTGTACATGAATATTAAAAAGGTAGAGACCGATGCGAGTAGATGGATTTAGATGCAAAAGATTAAAAAAGATTTTTTTTAGATTGATTCGCTAGCATCAGATTTTTCGACAATCTAAAATTAAGATTTAGATGTGTCGCATCCCACGGAAAATCAGGTTATAACTTAATTTCATCAGGTTTTAAGATACTGGAATTCGAACGTCATGATTTTGATAATTTAAGAGAAAAGAAAGTAATAAAGCTTATGCAGAACAATTTTTTATTCAATACATCGGACTAACTAACATTCGGAGTTATATATAATTTCAAGATTTAGAATGAAATAATCGAAAGGAAAGAACTCGAAACTTGAATAAATGTGTCCCTGTTTGTAACTAGTTAATAATTGGAGTTAATTTTGGGTAAACCATTTTGAATGGAGTTAATTTTGGTTAAACCCATTCGGTGTACAGAGAATGTACAAACATCTATCCAATGTCCATAAAATCTGGATTCAACATTCAAGATTCCATCAGAATCAATTAGCTGAACAACATACAGTCTTGAAAGAGTATTTGAATTTTTAAATAGATGGTCGTGTGTATGAAAATCTTTAGAATATTTTCAGCTGTCTAGGAAGGATGCCTGAAACAATATCCTGTAACTTATGCACCGTTTTCTGAACATCTACAAAACTCCCTTAAGTTTTACGAAATTTCCTCAACTTCTTCGAAGTTCCCTGAATTTATTTCAAATTCCATATTTCCATCTCTCTTAATTCTACGAAGATCTCTGAACATCTTTTCACTTCTTTAAAGGCACATCTAAATATTCTTGAACATCTCGAAAGTTCCTTGAAATTTAACGAAGTTCCCAAAACCTCCAAGAAGTTCATGGAGCTTTTCGAAGTAAGATCTCTGACAAACTGCAACGCAGTCCCCTAAACTGAAGCGAGGATCCCTGAAGTTCTAAGAAGTTTATCGAACTATGTTTAGATCTTGTACAGAATTTCCTGAACTTTTTTAAAAATTCCTTACACTTATAAGAAGTTTTGTACAGCTCCTCAAAATGGAACGAAATTCGCAAAACTTCTATTAAGTTTGCTTCACTTCTACGTATTTTGTTGATTTTCCGCAATGTTTCACGAACGAAAGTTCTTGAACTTGTACGTAATTTCCACAACTATTCCAAGTTCATGAGGCTTCAACGAATTTCCTCAAACTTCTGCGCAGTTTGCAGAATCTTTCCGAGTTGCTTTTTTTCTACGAAGATCTATGAAGTTCCCAGAATTTCTACTAAGTTTCTTCAATTTTTTCCCAAAACTTCTTAGAAGTCCTTGAAGTTTTACAGAAGTTACAGAAAAATCCCTGGGCTCGTGGCCAATTTGTAGAGCCTGAAGACGCCTGATTATGCCATCGATTAAAATTGAGTAGCAGCCTACCGCCACAATGCTCGGTTTTCTCCGCCGAAGCTGCGGCCATCTTTGTTGCCGTTACAACACCCTCGGACCGGCCCATACTGGTGCTATCCGATTCGTACAGCGTGATACAAGCCCTTACATCGGAGACCATGACTCACCCCTGGATACAGGGTATTGTGGAGGCCACACCTCCGAACACGGTGTTTTCCTGGATCCCTGGGCACTGCGGTATCCCAGGAAACAGCGAAGCCGACAGCCAGGCAGGGTCTGGACCAGCTGGCCCCCGTTACACCGACGAAGTGCCACTACAGGACATAAAGCAATGGATATTCAGCAAAATTTGGGAAGCCTGGGAAGCAGAGTGGTGCCAATCCCAATCCCTCTTCATCCGAAGAATCAAAAGAACGACGAGCAAGTGGAGGGATATGTCGAAACTACGGGACCAGAAGGTGGTTTCTCGTCTTAGGACAGGCCATACAAGGATCTCACATAGTTTTGGTGGGACGCAGTTCCACAGAATGTGCTACATTTGCGGAACCACTGCATCGGTGGAACACATCCTATGCCTGTGTCAGCAATACCAACAACTACGGGAGCAGTACGCACTTCCCTGCAGCATTAGGGACATACTGGGCGACGAACCTTCCACTTTAGTTATTTATTTCCTCAAGGACGCTGGGTTATACAACAACATTTAGGTCCTTTTAACTTTCTTTTGGCTGACGGTACATCTCTACCGGACGGGGGATTACCCCTCCTACAGTGGAGCTCCGATCTCTTTCAAAACCCTACCTAACTTTGATGTACCAGATTTTTTTTTCTCGTTGCCTTTTTACTGGAATCTGTTTTAATTGCTTCTATTTGAGTACATGTGAATTGTAAGCCAACTCCGTAACAAAATTTGCTGGCAGAACCCCCCTCTGGGGCCTCCTATTTTATAGAGATGAACTAGCCAACGGCTCAAAATCTCTCTAATAAAGTTAAAAAAACAGATTAAAATTGGATATAAAACAAACTCTCAATTTTTTTTCTTCTAATCCCGAAGATAAGAAAAGTAATCAATATAAAGGACTTTAAAAAATCTTCGTTTTAAAGTTTTATTAATCACTGTTAAATAGTAACATCGAACTTGACAAGGTTGACAAAAAAACACCATCAATTCTTGAAAGGGCCTAGAGTCTGGAACGCGCAAAAATTGGTCAACTTCAAATTGGTGTATTTCTGTTAATAATGCATAAAAAACCCTGAAATGCTGCATTTGGAAGTTGAGTGTAAGGGAGAACAGCCCATAATGCACCCCTGGGGTAAAATGCCCACTTTTAGAAAAACAGCGATAACTTTTCCTCAGATGCATTTTCCGGGTAACGGTTTGTGATTGTTTTCAACTGGAGGTTTCACAAATAATTCTTGATCATAAAATCATGTATTGACCTGCTGATTCCTTAAAAAAATTACATTTTGTGCAAAACAGGACACAGTTGTTAAAATCATCGACTGTAAATTAAGCTTTTAACATCATATATCACAAAAAAAATATAACAAATTTACGTTTCGTATATTTTTTTAGATATTTTACTTGATGAATCACAGTTTAACATTCTATTGAGATTTTGAGACCTTATTTCTGATGTAACATAAAGAAATAACCATTCGAAATACCGCATCCCTTTGCATTATCTACTTGCAGGGGTTATGGTTTGTTTACCATGGGGTGCATTTTACCCCAATGTTGTGGTGCGTTTTGGCCATTGTTGTCGTGCGTCTTGCCCCAATGTTGTGGTGCATATTGCATCATGAATCAGGCGTTTTGCCCCGCTATCATTTTGGAAGCAATTTAGAAAATACCTTGAAAGTCGTGGAAAATCATCCTTTTGTAGTTCTAAATCACTCGATCTTTGTAGAAAACATGGTAATGAACCAAACGCCATTACTTTCTTCTTGATTTTAGCCTCCATTCGCCAGCCATTGACGATTTTGCTTAAAGGGTGCGTTTTGCACCATCCTACCCTATATACAATGGTTGCTATGATGAGTTTTCACCGTTTGTTCTCCAGTTTTCAAAATGACGTCCAAGCAAGAGGAGCAGCGTGTCAAAATTTTGCTCGCGCAGCAAGAGAATCCGACGTTCTCACACGCCAAGTTGGCAAAAGTGCTGGATGTGGCCAAATCGACCGTGATAAACGTTTTAAAAGTGTTCGGGGAGCGTCTGTCGATTGCCAGGAAGCCTGGAAGCGGCTGCAATCGTAATCCGGACGTGGCAGCGATGACGAAGAAGGGATGTCGCTGGCAAGCTAAATGTCTCCCATACTACTGTGCAGCGGGCCAAGAAACGAGCCGGGTTGTCGACGTTTAGGAAGGTGAAGGTGGCGAACCGAGATTACAAACAAAACACGTCGGCAAAGCAGCGGTCCCAAAAGCTGTATACGAATCTGCTCACAAAGTTCGTCTGTGTCGCCATGGACGACGAAACTTATGAGAAGGTGGATTTCAACCAGCTTCCGGGACAGGAGTTGTATACCGCATCAGGAAAAAGGAAGGTGGCTGAAATTTTCAAAACCATCAAACTATCGAAGTTCCCGAAAAAATACCTCGTCTGGCAGGCCATATGCACGTGTGGTTTAAAAAGCGGCATTTTAATTACTACGGGAACCATCCATCAAGAGATCTACGTCCATGAGTGTCTGGAAAAGCGGCTGCTACCACTCCTAAAGCAACATAATAGACCTGTGCTGTTCTGGCCGGACTTGGCGAGCTGCCACTATGGGAAAAAGACAATCGAGTGGTACGATGCGAACAACGTGGTTGTGGTACCTAAAGACCACAACCCTCCCAACAGCCCAAAACTCCGCCCTATCGAACGGTATTGGGCCTTGGTCAAACGGAATCTCAAAAAACTAATAAATCCATGGAAAACGAGCAGCAGTTTAATTCTAACTGGCGTTCGGTGGCGAATAAGGTCGACGAGACCACTGTGCAAAATTTAATGGAAGGGGTTAAGCGGAAGGCACGGCAGTTCGGATTTGGCAAACCAAAAGAATAAACGAACAAACGAACAACGAAGAAGATTTTAGTGATATGAATTTTGACTGAAAGAAACGATTTTTTTGTCGATCAATTTTTGCGCGTTCCAGCCTTTAGTTATTCTGGAGGGGGCCTGGCCTCCTTGGTACCCCCATTAGCTACGCCAATGATTTTTGTGACATCCTTAGCTATCATCTGGACGGGGAGCCCCCAGGTTTCTAGACAAAGTACTATTTTGGGCTACCCTAATGTGCACTAACGAGCCTGAAAAATGCGAATCCATCAGTGAATCCAAAGTATCACTTGGAGTTTTAGTGTAAACTCCATCCTGACGTGTCAGATTTCCAAGTTTAAACTTATGATTATTTTGCGAGTGATTTTTTGTAACCTAGAAACTATAGGAGATCTTTGAATGGATTCTTACTACTGTTACTACTGGGAACATGATTTGGAAACGGAAAGTTATATTTTGCTAGCATAAAATTCATTTGTGGTTCCTTATAGTCCATACATGAGACTTTGATTGGGCAAATTAAAATTATACCGTTAGTTAACATGAATTTAATAAAACTCATTATCAATTTATCACAAAATCGGTATATGCGGCGATTTATAACAGATTATGTTTAACTGTTATACAGGAGAATCTCACACTTCCGGATGGTTTCATCCAGAAAAATCATATTTTTTTGTCAGAAATTCTTTGTGTTGGGATAATTCATCTATTTATTTTTCTATTTACGGTGCTCATGCAAATATACTTGTATCTAAGATCATTAAGGAGGGGTAAGCGAACATTAAAAAATTTAAATTTTTACACATGCACATTAATATAATACATTACTGATCTCATAACTCCACATGTTTTACTAAATTTAACAAATGCCAAATTATTTTATCATTAAATGTTCCATGCACAAGCAAAATTGCAAACTGAATAAAAAAAACTACAAGGAAAGCTAATTTTGAAGCCTCTAGAGAAGCGCGCAGAAGATGGAAAGTTAAATGCGATGGTGCACAGAATGACGGCGGAGGCCGGCAAAAAGCGACATTGAGGGGGAGGGATTTCGCTTTATGCTAGGTTATCACGTAGGGAAACTTGGGCTCCATAAAAAGTACCTTTGTATTTGAATCGTTCCTAGGTACCTACTATCAGTTGAGATTGAACAACGTTCGTTTTTATGACCCGGGAATTGACGGACTGGCGGCGGATAGGTACTGGAAGCAATTTACCGCCGAGAATCCAATTCCGGGCCGGGAATCTTTTCTTGTGGCAGATGCAAAAACAGTTACAGCGGAAAATTGGCGAGGTTTTTGCACAGGCGCCCGGAAAATTTGAGGTACCGAAGCAGGCAGGCCCCCGACAGAGCGAAATGAAAAATTAACATCTTGATAGAACGTAGCGAGTATATTTCCAAAGCAAAGGCTTCTACTGAACGGGAAACGTAGTCCACCTGTGCTCGCAAACTTCATGGAAGCACACCCCCAATAGACGTCTGTTAGGTTCAACAACGGTGGAAAAGAACGACAAAACTTGACACCGTATGACGAGGGTGATGATAAATCTGATGAAAACAAAGGATTACGAGGGAAAATTGAGATGCCTTGCTGGAAATATGACACTTGACAACTTGATACGATGATGAGTTGAAACAAAATGAAACCGAAAGAACCATGCGTCTCCTTTATTAGCTCAATCCGGACTCCGCAACAAAGTGAAACACTAATTGAATCCACACAAAATTACATTAATTATTCCTCCCAGTCCACGCCGTTTAAACTATCGTTTTCGGGAGCAAAAAACTGAACCGGCAAAAATCAATTCAATTTTAAACAACCATCGGACAGCATTTACCCTATCTCCCACATTGGACCTCCTCGACTCAAACTACACAGAGACAGAATGAGTAGCTGCGCTTCGGCACGGCGGTGGGTCACAAAAAGTTCCAATGTAAATAAAACATGCCCGGGTCTGGGAGGTGGATGGAGCATAAAAACGTGATTACACGGTATAATTAAATGAAAAGAGCCGGGACAAAA